TGGCAAGTATAAAGATAGGATGACTTCTCACCAACTTACGTACACTTTATATCATCATAATCATCACACTCTTTATCAACCCAGCTACCAACCTCATATCAAACTCTCATTGACTCTGGCTGCTTTTCAAGCCTTGTCTTACACTCTTTTCTCCTTCATTAACAATTTGTCCTGCCGTTTCTACGGTACATCGTCAACATGATATCCCTCAACAACATTTTTGTTGTGCTTATCATCCAACTATGGACTGCAGTCTGCAATGCCCAGTTCAGTGTTTGGCGCGCCGACACCAGAACCCCTACCGAGATGCGCGCCGCCGGTCTCTTCGCCCCTAGAGGAGCCAGCCAGATCCTCCAGATTGTCCCTAACGTCAGCATGTACAACCACGCAGTCGGCGCCGACAACGGCGCCAGTCGCGACAATGACGGCTACGTCTCCACCACGGCCAGCGAGGACACCGCCGTCGGCTTCCTCACCAACATGTTCAACGGGAACGGCTACGTCTACGAGATCGCGGCCGCGGCCAACTTCATCCAGGTCTCCGGCACTCTGGGCGAGTTCAGCCCGTACCCCAACGAGCAGGAGTACGCGGCGCTCGGAGGCTTCAGCTGGGACCAGGTCATCCGCTGGAGACACTACACCAACGGCGTTGCGGACGGCGGACTGCAGGATAACAACGAGTATGAGGGCCGCATCTACAACGGCCTGAGACCCACCAACTCCATGCCCAGCCTTGCTGGTTTCCCTGCTGGTCACCGTGCCTGGACCTTGTCTCCTTGGAACGCGTTTGCCCAGGGCGGTGCCGGCTGCGGTGGTGGGAACGCTGCCCGTACTCTCTTCGTTCGCCAGGGTACCTGCAACCCCAAGGAGGATGCCGAGACTGTTGCTAAGAGATTCATTGATGAGAACTGCTGGGCCAAGGATCTCTGCGGCTAGATAATGAGGATCAACTACGCTGTTTAGCCCGACAATATGGAGGATGAGGTACCTTACATCTGGCGGCCGAGCCATGCCTTTCGAGGTAGGGGCGGCAGATCAAGAACGCGGCATATGCGATTTAAGTCTAGATGATCGATGATTCTGATAGGAATGAGAAGGGAACAAACTGATGGATGCTTCAGGGGAGCCCACACAGTCTCAACCATTGCTAAAATGGCATGGGTGTTATTTGTTTTCTCAAGGTGTTTCTTCATTAGGAGATAGCAAGGATAGCAAGGAAATTTGTTGATGAGAAAACTTTCGCCTTGTTCCGCATGATTGACCTACGAATCCAATGTCAAATCAGAGCTGGTTCGGCCGAGATGCATCCCATCGACTCAAGCAAAGTCCTTCAGCCCGCAGCCGTCTCTATCAATATCCACATACGCGCACAGAGTCTTTCCTTCCATCCCGAAGTTCTCAATCTATCGTGTTACACAAGGAAGCTAGACACTTCTTAAATGCCTCTTTGTCATCGATGCCCAAATGGCCTTCATATCAGAACTTGTGTTAATTTTTCCGAATAATAGGACCAGTTGGCTCCATATCCTTAGCGAATGACGGGACCTCTCAGTGGAGCTCGATACATTAGCTTGAAAGAAATCAACACCTCGTCTAGCATATCCAAAGTGTCATTTCTGCAACCAAAACATCGAAGCTTTTCCCGTATACTGACTGGAATTGTATGCGGACTTTCACCGCTGTCAAGCCATGAGTTACTCATATAGGTGAGGTCGAGATCGGTCGCGAAGTGAATCAGAGATTCTCCTGAGAACTTTTTACCAAGGATGAGTAAGCACTGTAAGAGCCATGTGAGACCATTTGCGTCGAAGCCGTCTTCTAGAATGTTTCGAAAGTACTTGAACTGTAGTGCGAATTGACTTGTCGATGCCAAAGAATCTCCATCCAAGGCAGTGGGTTTAGAGGCTATGGATGTATGTAACAGGTCTGCACACAGAATTTCGGGTATCACATGGTATTTCCTTGGTCGCTGCTCAGATTGAGCCGAAATTGTGCTTTTCAAGATGAGATCGACAACTTGTAGAAGTCTCATCTGTACCTTCCAAGTGATCGGTGTCGACTTGAAAGGCCCCTCAAGGGAAGAGGGGTCTGAGACGGTGTCAAAACGCGCTAAGGCCCCTGTAACTTCTCGCAGAGACAGGATTAAGTCTGTCTTGTGAAAACCTGGGGCTCTGGGCGATTTGAGGAAGGTATTCATCAAAACCACAGAATTGCTGAAGTACCCTAGAGCTTCGTCGTTGCTTAGCTGCGGCTGAGACAAAGCCTGACGGTATTTTGAGACAAACTTCCCAACAAGTATTGCAACAAGACAAACAATCTTACTGCTGACCTTGAGGACTTTCTCACTTTGGGCGTATATTCCTCTCAGAGAATGTAAGTATTCCCCAGCGTCTCGTGCAGAATTTCGGCTAGTGCTGATAGCAAGCCTTTCCAGTTTCTCTTCGATCGAGAGCATATAGCCATCGGTCGTCATGGACCGAAGCCTAGCACCTTCGACCATTAGGGCTCGAATAGAATGGATTCGGCACCAGTCACAGTCCCTGAAAGCCGCGAGTTGTATTGGAGTGAAGCGGTTGAACACGGACCCGGCAGAGGGTGTGTTTAAGGCTTCGCCTTTCGTTGCCTTAGCCAGGAATACGATACCGTCCAGGTCGTTATGTAGGACGCAAAAATGGGCCAACTCTATTCGAGAGCAAAATCTAGCCAGTACCGTTGTCGAAGCCCCATGCTCAAGCAATGCTGACGCGAGGTGCCAGTTCCTCAGCAGCATGGCCCGACGAAGGGCGGAGCAATAGCATCCAGAGGCATCGATGTCGTTTGACGGATACGATGCACCACCATTTACTAGCCATATTGCAAGCTTGAATCTTTCTTCCGATACAGTTCGTAGTGCAAGGTTAATCTCATCACCCCTGTATGCTGGTCTCAAGCCCTCCGATTCTGGACGAGGTCGCGTCTGAACAGCGATGTCGAAGTTCCCCATGAGACAGGCACGACGGAAAATCTGGTTCCGCATTCCATCTTCGGTGCGAATTGCATTCAACAATCTTTTTCGGAGTTGGGAAACAATAAATGAGTTAAGCTCACGAGAGTCTACCAATACTTTGAGGATAGAGTAGACTCTTACGCTGCTAAGGGACTTAAGATCCAGTTCTCTATTGAGGGCCGAAGTAAACTTTCTCAGGAACATCTCGTGTGGGACATTGCTTTGCAGTGTGTGAAGTAATGCCTAAAACATCGATGTTGGAGAGTCCACGAAGTCGTGTATAGGATATTCGGGGAGGAGCTTGAATGTTCGGGGTACATCTAGGGTAACAGGGAAGCCTCCCAGAGCAGCAATTTGTGTCATTGTCGCATCCAATTCGTATGGCCCTGGGGATTCGATAGACCCTGGAGAGAGCTCGATTGAAGAATTATCGTAAGTGCTTAGGGCGCTGACATTCCTCGTGGGTATCTTGCTGCACTTCGCTGGCTCAATATGGGATTCAATCCATTTGGTAAACTCGAAGGTCTTTAGTGATACTGAGATTGGGAGTAGGTGTAATATCATGTGTGCCTCTATGATAGGACGTGGTGATACTGGAGGGTTATCGCCTGAGGAAGGTGATAGTGACGAAAGTGACGAAAGTGATTTGAACATCCGACGAAGTGCCACTATGCGGCGGAATTGTGAGGTGAATGACGAAGCATGTTTACCCAAGTTGATAGCATGATCGAAAGTTGGGATATGGGAGTTTTGCACAGACCAGAATAAGCCTGCAAAAGCAGCAGGTTCTTGGGGTACTTCCACATTCGTCCAGGCCGCCGCTACGAAGGGATGGGTTCGGAGATGCGAAAGGTCAACCTCATCGATCAGATTGAACCACAAGCGTTGAGTAGATGGCTCGATCTTATACCGTGTGTGTAGTAACCAAAATTCCTTTGCATATGAGAGGAAAGGATGGTCGGGAACAACAATTCCCGTGTCCTTGGAATTTTGCGCAAGAATGTGCCCAATCTGGCGGCTGCGTCCCTTTGGCTTGAAGAAACTCCCCGCTAATCTTAAAGAACTCCGTGAATCGTGGAATGTTTGACGCATGATCCCAGTCGAGATTTTCCCAGCGTCAATTTCCGGAACCACATTTCTTGAAAGCTTGGTCTCAAAGATAGAGTAGTTCAAATATGTCAGGATGGTGCCACCAAGCTCATTGTGAGCTTCCTCTGCGGTGAACTGCCAGATCGAGATGTTACCCAGAGAACCTTGGCAAAAGCTCTTAGCACTGTGGTGTACAAATCTTACGGTACCCTCCTCTTCGTCCGTCATAACTAAGCTGCCGCAGAAAGCAAGAAGATTGGTAATGTTGTTTATTTGCCTTCTTGGGTCATAGTTGTCTTGGCCTATGGTCACGCTTGCCATCTCTCGTACTTGAGCCGTTGTCAATGGTTCATATGCCGCGGCAAGGAACTTGAGGATTCGGACGTAATATTTATGAGAATCTCGGACCGTCGATCTCTCCAAGATTCGAGCATATGTTGTCTCTAGATCTCGAGGAAGTGACTTGATTGCTGCTCGTACATCAAAGTCTGAGTTTTCCCAGCAAATGGCATCAAGTTGGAGAGCCGCCCAGAGAAACCTATTTCATACTTAGTAACATGTAAGAGTATCGACCAAAATCAAAAGCCTGGACAGTGACTACTTTTCCAGAAGCCGGTACTTACATTCCGTTTGCCCCTTCGATGAGAGCCTATTTTGATGTCTTGGATCAAACCAGGATCTTCAACGGCCAAACGACCGTCTTTGAGTCGAGCTTGAATCTCCAAATCGATGAAGAATCCAATGTCTGGATTCTCGTTGGGAAGTATAATATTCCACATGGGATCAAGTTGGGTCTTAATGAATTGATCGGCTGAAAATTGGGCTGAAACTCCCAAGTGCCACTTCGACGATGGCTGGATCTCTCTGAGCTGGCTTAGAACGATTCGACGTTCATCTGTACTGCAATCGTCGAGGCCATCCACAATTATATATTTCTGTTTGTACTTCATTGATCCCAGTCTTAGGACGTGCAAAAAGTCCTCATCTCCTAGTTGAGGTAATAACAAATCATCCGCGAAGACATCACGCGAAGACATCACTGCCGATAGGAAAGCAGGTTAGATATTGCCTGGCTAGACTGCCGAGAATTGTCCGGTGATTCAAGCTCTCTGGAATGTCATACCGACAGAAGAAGTAAAGCACAATAGCTTCTTTGTCATGAGTGAGGTCACTCACAACGTTTGCCATCGTGACAGACTTCCCAGCGCCGATTTTGCCACTGAAGAGGATTGATGTTGATGAGTGAAGCTCTTTCCATTGCCGATACTCGCTAGATCTTGCGAGCAACGAAGTTGAACCAATTTTTTGCATTTGCTTCCAAGTTGTCTGGAAATCGTAGGTAGAGCAAGAATTAAGCCACTTTGACTTCTTTTCGACGTCATATCGGTGTGCTGTAGAGGCCGACCAGCGAGCTGCTAATGCTCGTGCTTTGGCGCTCAAATGGGCCTCATTTTCATGATGCTTGTTGAGCAACAAATCGACCTCCTCTTTGATTGATGTAGACCATAGAACAAGATCAGATTGGAAGTTTTTGATGTCCGAGTCGTTGAGGGAAGTTGTCAATTGGCCAAAGGTTGATTTCCGGGCGAAAGACTGAACTCGGTGGCAGATATGAGTGACGACGATGAAATACTCGCAGAGATGGTTTTGCAGCTCTTTGGATTTCGGATAGACCAAAGCTAATGCCTGATGACGCGGTGCTTGTCTGCCAGCAGCCATGAATAGGAGGGAAAGTTTCTCCAGATACGAGGAGAACCCGATACAAATCTTGAATGGTTAGTAAGACATAATAAGACCTGCTTGTTTAACCCACATGCAAATACACTTACATGTAAGGTCATCCTGACTGCTGCCCATACCCCGCACGCGACAAGATTCTGTGATCCGCCTACCACGACGTCGCCTAAAGCAGCAAATTGTTGAACTGATTGGAGTAAGTTCGTCAGACGAGGCCCAAAGCATCGGGAGGACAGCCGCTTCTGACGAGCTTGACGGTCAACTTCAGCCGTGAAACGCATCACATCGCCCTCGGTTGGGGGCTTGGTGCATGCTGTAGAGCGCTCATTCCTGAAAGATGCCTTTTGTGAGGAGTCAAGCGAAGCTTCGAACTCCGAGACTGCTTGGGCTAATCATATCTCTGGTTTCAAGAGCGAAGCATGACGCAACGCGAGCGCCATGATCTTGGATAGGGCACTCTAGGTACCTAAGGTAAGTGGTCAATGCATGTGGACTCGAGACTGAAAGATGTTGTGTCGGAGAGAGGTCATCAATTCATCCCCGCCTCTCAGCCTGATTTGTGTTGACTGATGTAACCGGGCGGGATCATGTGATTGTTGCACTCTTTGACCCTTGCCATTGGGTTGATGCCATGCACCAAAAATTGCTGTGCCCCTCGATGGCGAACCAGTCAACCCTCATCGATAATAAGCACACTGCTAGGGGCCTAGGGGCCTCTTTTCGTCATATCAGGCTGAGTATACGCAGTAAGTCCGTGTAACATCACAGAACTGTTGACATAATACAAATCGAAAAATGAAGTGGTGGCTCGATTCTGGTCTGCAAAACAAAAGACGGCTGTTCTTCCGGCTTCATCGCCGAGGATCCGCTTCATGATGGATCTTTTGTCATCCAAGTGCCCCAGTGATATAATTGCTTTGTCTACGTGTCTTTCACACCTCAGCCAGACCGATCTTATCTACCCAGTATCAATACTGTACGTACAAGTACTTATTTACTTACTATTTAGCGGTAGTCTACAAATGGCCCATTCCCACTCCAGCACGTGATGTCAGCAATTAGATTTCTCTCAAGCCCAACTTGCCAGCACTTTTGACTTTACTCCATCGATTCTATCGAAACCTAACTTCCCCGGCCCTGAGCCAAAGATGCACAAGTAAAGATGGAGGTTCTCGCTCTCGGTCTTTCATGGGCACTGAACTTCACGACCTCGTCGCAGAATATCCTAAATCGCTTCGGTCTGGCATCTCTGACGGATGGGAACAAGGCATCCTGGGGGCTGCTCTCCACACGCCTCTCACCAAAAGCGTCGATCGTACTTCCAAACGAACCCCTTTTTGATAATTATACAAATAGGTGGCGCGACTGGCATGCACCGGACGTTGGAGTTGTTGTCAATGTTCACACAGATAACGACATTCAAGTGACGGTATGTTCTACGAAAGGCAGCCTTTTGCACTCCTGACTGTTCTCTACAGATTCGTCATGCAAATGAGCAGGGGGTTCCATTCATTGCTAGATCGGGCGGTCACGGTGCGACAGAGTCGCTGAGTCTGGCTAAGGATGTGGTGTCCATCGACCTTCGCGGCATGGACCAAGTTATCATCTCTGAAGATGGCAAGACTGCCACAGTTGGAGGCGGAGCAAGCGTCAAAGAGGTTGTCAATACTCTGTGGGCAGCAGGCAAGCAAACAGGTGCGCTATCGCAGAAGCCCTTTCGACTCTCAAGAATATGCTGACAACGAAAAGTGACGGGAATTTGCGAGTGCGTTGGCATTTCTGCCCCAGTTCTTGGGGGCGGCCACGGGTGGCTTCAGGGCCAGTATGGGCTAGCTTCGGACCAAGTCATCTCGGCCAAAGTTGTTCTTCCCGATGGAAAGCTCGTCACAGCATCCGATCATGAGAATTCCGATCTCTTCTGGGCTTTGAGGGGAGCCGGTCACAACTTTGGCATCGTCACTGAATGGCAGTACCGAGTCCACGATGTCAAGAACACCAAGTGGTCTTATCAAATACTTATCTATCTCGGCGATAAGCTTGAGAAGATTCTTGATCTGACCAACAAGATGATGAAGACTCAGCCGCCAGAAGTTACACACTGGATGTATTTCGTAAACATCCCTGAAATTGACCCCAAGCGAGTAAGTCTACCCTCCCGCACAATACTCATTTTCGGAAAGGGTCGCGACGGCTAAATCAAGACAGCCCATAGTCTGGTACGCCATCATATCGGACGACACCTTCGAAAAGTCTACAGAGTATGCGAAGCCTCTATATGACATTGATCATATAAACGTCGAAGCTGGGGTGGCACCTATGCCAGACTTGGCTGGCTTGACCTTCATGAGCAGCGATAGTGTTGGATGCGCCAAAGGCTACACGGGCCTGCGATACCCTATTGGTCTGAAAACCTATGATTTACCTGCCGTCCGGAAAGTGTTTGATGACATTGCCGTCATGTCGAACCGCAACCCGGAATTCGCCGGGTCCTTCTTCCTCCTTGAAGGATATTCGACTCACGGCGTGAAAGCCGTGGATGAGAAGAGTTCAGCTTTCCCACATCGAGATGACGATATTCTGGTTACGTCGTACATCATGTACAAGCCGAATGCGTCTCTCGATGCACTTGCTCAAGAATATGGAGAGAAGCTAAGAGGGCATCTACTCGAGGCAAGTCATGAGCCTGAGCGCTTGAGAGCGTATGTGAATTATGCTCATGGGATTGAGTCACTCGAGGCTATCTATGGATGGGACGAATGGAGGCTGGAGAAGTTGAGAGGGCTGAAGGCGAAATGGGATCCTCAGAACCGAATGAGATTCTACAATCCTATTGTCTAAGCTGCAGGTTCACTGGTCACCGCAGAACAGGGGTCAAAGACGTCGTGCAAAGTCTGGTGGGCAGTTACAATATCCACCACGAAGGCCAGATCAGCCTCCCTACTTTCAGTTTTCTTTGGTGATTGCAATAAGCGGTTTTCTCACAAATTGTTATTCAACTAGTCCATTTCCAACACTCATGGAATCGTTCGTTGCCTTCATTTATTCTATATTACGTAGCTTTCCTTGCGATACAAAACCGATAACTCGTTTAAAGTCTCCCCTCGCCTAGAAGTGCTCAACTAAGGTGGTTTGCCATGTTAGACCTCAAAAGCTTAGGGTCAATCTCAAACTGAGAGAAGTTATCGACCAAGTCATCCCACATCTTGGGGTCGTGCTCATGCTTCTCCTTGCTATTCCAGGCATAGTCGGTGATGGTGAGAGCTCGGCTCGTCTCAAACATGAAGGCAATGGAGCCGAGCGAGATCTGCATTTGAGGGGGATCCGCCTTTGACGCAGCAGCAAATTGCTCGTATGCAACGCCATGAGGCACAAACCCACACTCAAATGAGATACTTCCGGGCTGGAATTCGTCAGACCGGCCTCCGTATTCGCCGTAGATCAGACCCATCAGCTCAGAGGCGCAGTTCCTGTGGTAGTAGGGCGGGCGGTAGGTGTGAGATGCGACGTCCCATCTAGGGGAGAAGATTAGGAAGTCGGCTAGGGGCGCAGCTGGATCACGCGACTTGGCCGTCAAGACACAGAAGATGGACGGATCAATGTGATCGACGGAGATAGAGCCCACGTTGACAAATTTGGTGAGGTCATACTTGAACGGCACGTAGTTTCCATGCCACGCAACCACATCGAAGGGGCAGTGCCGTTGAGTGCTGTTGAAAAACTTTCCGCCGATTTTGTACACGATATCCCATGGGTCGTCTTTTGTAACCTCGTATGCGGCGACCGGGTGCAAGAAGTCGCGCGCGTTGGCCAATCCGTTCGCTCCCAAAGGGCCCAACTCGGGAAGCTCCCAGTTTGAACCCCAGATCTCCAGGATGTATCCACGAGTCGGTCCTTCAACGTTTACCTTGAAGCGAAGACCACGCTGGATGACGCAAATCTCACCAGGCTGCACGTACAAGAAACCGAACTCAGTTTGGATGTCCAGAACACCTTGCTGAGGCACAATGAGCCAGTCGCCGTCGGAGTTCGCAAAGGCTCTTTTCGTCATGCTCTTATTGCAAAGGTACACATGAGTGGCGAGGCCTTCCCGAAGAGTTGGGTCTCCGGAGCCGGCGACAGTCTTGAGGCCATCGACAAAGTCCAGATCTTGGCCATCAGGGATCGGGAACGGCTTCCACGCCAATTGAGTTGGAGAAATGTGAACTCGGGGGTTAATCGGGATGAAAGTCGACTCAGTGTCTTTGTTGTCGGGAAGATCGGTCTACCAGAGGAAGATTAGCGACAGATTCCAAAATTGAAACGATGGATCAAGGACTTACAAATCCCTGGTGAGCTACAGCTGGTCGCGACCGATAGAGCCAAGCTTTCTTGTTGGAATGTCTGGGCGCGACAAAGGCTGAAGCCGTCACCTGTTCGGCGTACAATCCATATCTGATGCTTCTCGGGCTATTCTGGCCCCTTGGGATCGTGCCGGCGATAGCTTCTGACTCGAAGCTGTTGTTGAATCCGGGCTGATAAGCGTACGGATCGTTCGGGCGCGTCGCAAAGGAGGGGACTGCTCCGTCTTGCTGCGTCGCCGCCCAGTGAAAGGCGTTTTGGAAGTCCTTCGGCTTCAGATCTTTTGGCGCTGCCATTGTGAAGTAAAGCTAGCTCTGAGAATGCGAGGAGGGGTTACTGGTGAGGGGCTGACGATGACGGCGACTCAATGGAGCTATCTATCGCTTTTGTAAGAAATGCTCCCCTGTCCATTGCGGAAAGCTTCACCCCACATGGAGCTATCTGAGCTTGAGCGGCTACTCCACACGGCCTTTGCGGCAGTTTGTAAGTTGGAGCGTGTGGAGGTTCAGAGAGCTTCGCTGTTGTGCTGAGACGACGTGTGTGGGATTCCACACCAGACATGTCTCCTAGTGTGCGGGGATGTGGTGCCTCTGTCATGACTGACAAAGTCGCCGAAGTGGGCTCGTGCTCCAATGCGGGCACAACGATTAGGTATGCATAGTGTCTTCCGGACTAAGAAACACCACTTGTTATGAAAGGTGGTTATTAGAATGTTGTCTGCACAATTTGATATTGAGTTCAATCAGGCAGTGCAGATTTTAATTGCTATCACAACGCGATTGGACGCAATGTCGTTACTCAAGTTATTAAGTTTTCTCTCTATTACCATAGTTATAGCTCACTTTTACATCAAGAGCAAAACAACTGTCACTCTGAAGGGGTATAGGCCCATTCCAGGACCAAAGGGATGGCCTTTGCTAGGCAACGCGCCACAACTAGGTTCAGCACCACATCGACAAGTCCAGCGATGGGCTCAAGATTATGGCGAAATTGTCAAAGTTCGCCTCGGCTGGGAAAACTGGGTTTTTGTCAACAGCCCAGATGCAGTACGCGAAATATTTGACAAACAATCGGCAAGGACCTCTGGAAGGTCACCAATGCCAGTACTCTCTGACCTTCTGTCCGGGAGCAATAGACTCCTACTTTTGACTTACGGGTCCAAATGGCGACAATTGCGAACGATTGTGCACAAGCTCCTTACACCAAAAGCTTCTGACACGTACAAGCCATCACAAGAGTTTGAGGCCAAGCAACTCCTCTACGACATTGCGACCGACAACACAGATCAAGAGAGTTTCTATATGCATGTTCGCCGGTACACCACATCTGTTGTGCTTACCAGTACATACGGACTTCGTGTTCCTAAGTGGGTACGTAGTGGTTATTTCATCAACTCCTCAAGAGGAGGAAAGCTGACTGCTAGTCTGAACGCACAGGACTGCGAGGATGTGCGCCAGATTTATGACCTTCTGAAAGACTTCACCGAAGTTGCAGAGCCTGGCGCTTACATCGCCGACATGTTTCCTCCTCTTGCCAATCTTCCCTCGTTTCTCCAGTGGTGGCGTCCGGCTGCTACTCGAGCTTACGAAAGGCAGAGGAAAATCTGGATGCATTACTGGAATGGCTTGAAGTCTTCGGTGGCCGAGAAGAAAGCCCCTGAGTGCTTCGTGAAGCAGTTCATGGAGTCAGACTTTGAGAAACTCGGCATTACCGATGTTCAGGCCGGGTTTGTTGCAGGCTGTAAGTATCATCTCCAGCTCTCTTATCAATTGTATGCGGAACACTAACTTAAGTAAAGCCATGATTGAGGCCGGATCTGAGACGACTTCATCAGCGTTGAATAGCTGCATTCTTTACCTGGCGGCGAACCCCAGAGTACAGGACATTGCTAATGAAGAGCTAACGCGAGTGATTGGCGACGAGAGATCGCCAACTTTTGCAGACGAAGCCAAACTGCCCTACATCAGAGCAACTGGGAAGGAGGTCCTCCGCATCAGGCCAGTTACCACGATAGGAAGCCCACATTACACAACCTCAGATGTCGTCTATAAGGATTATTACATTCCCAAGGACACCGTCGTTGCGATTCCTCAATATGTTTTACATTTCAGCTCCGATAAATGGACCGACCCTGAAGATTTCAACCCATCACGTTACTTGGCGTATCCTGAAAAGGCTGGCTTTTACGCCGCTCAGGGAGACGCTAAAGCTCGTGATCATTTTGACTTTGGTGGAGGGAGACGCATCTGTCCTGGCATGCATCTAGCCGAGAACAGCCTATTCATCACATTGGCCAAGATCTTGTGGGCCTTCAAAATTGAGCCGGCGTTGGACCCGAATGGCAAGGAAATGCCGATAGATCTATCCGATGAAGCTTATGAACCGGGCATAAATACACTTCCCAAACCCTTCAAGGTCCGATTCACGCCACGCAACACCAGAAGAGCTGAAGTTCTCAAGTCTGAATGGTTTCAAGCAGAAAGAGAAGGATTCTACTTGGGAAGCGTCAAAGTTGACACGAAGGGAATGGTTGTAGCATAGTTAGGTATTCGAAGAGCGCGACGGATAGTAACGGAGGGCGATCCGCCCGTGTTCCGTCTTTCGAGTCATTGGTTGCGTTTCGTCCGAGCTGTAACATACAAGAGCCACACGTCTGCATGGGTCAAACGGAGCATTAAGGCCAATAGCAACCAGCATATTTGTACAAGGCCATTTCAGATCCAATGTTCTCAATGCCGGTGGACACAAATGCGATGAACCCCACACTTTTCCCCGCAACCGCCGTGGTAGCGAAGAGTTGATAATAACTTACTGATCAGCTAACTGTGCACGCTGCGGCGGCCCGCGGGCGTTCCCCATGTCCGTCTTGGCGCTATTATGTCGATCCTCGATGACGATGCAGTCTGGTTGGTTCCTGAGGACGATAATCCAACAAACTGCGTCGTGTTTCCCCATGTACCCCCAACAACGCCATAGAACTTAATGCTCGTCTTACTTTATTCTTGAGATACCCGTCATACGCCTTATCGACAAACATCTTACTTCAGTTATCCCATTCGTCACTAAACTCAGAAACTTTGTATCCCATGTCCTCCACCACGTCCTTACCCGTCCATGGCCCCGGACAACTAGTCGCGTCGACAGAGACGGTAAAGGCAGGAGAAAAGCGTGCTCGCAGGACCGCTCGCCCTTACAAGTGTGCCCACTGCCCTAAGGTCTTCAAACGCAGTGAACATTGTATCCGTCACGAGCGAAGTCACACAAACGAGAAGCCCTATGCCTGCCAGTATTGTTTGAAGACATACTCAAGAAAGTGAGGCTCCCTCAAGATAGCCTGGCAATGTCTGAGCGATAATCAGAGGTTAATCGAAAGGCAGAGACCTTGTCACGCGGCATGAAAAGACACTACATGCGGAACACAACAGTAAAGTCGTCGATGATCCGTCTGACGATGATGATGCGTCGTCGGAGGCAACTTCGAGTGAAAGGGAGCATGACCCTAAACGGCAGCGTGCCTATCGCACCCCTCTGAGCCAGCCCTCACTGAGAGATGGCCCTAGAAGAGACTCTTGCTCGTCCACTCTAGTTTCCAATAGCATTGTAGTCTCAATGCAACCTAAGAACATCTCGAGGGAAAGTCACCAATTTCGGCAGCACGAGCAAGCGGCTCTCACTCCTCCACAAACGCACAATATCCCCATTTCGGATTCAGCAGACGCCATGAACATGTTTTTCGACACCCTTCCCGAAACCGTCTTTGGCAATAGTCGACCTCAAGATCTACCCAAGACACAAGGGGCAGTCTTTGATCACTTACGGACCCAACTCACTGAAGGAACCACGAATAGGAGTCATGTGCCAAACGGACACCCTTCGCTTCCAGAAAATGGCTCAGCTCTCGGCTCCATGGACTCTTTTCTTGCAGATCCAATTTCACAGTCGGTATTGCCCATATCGACCTTCGACTTCACACATGACTTTGGTTTCCTCGACGCTCCAGATTGGATGGGATTATCAAACACAGGTACTGGCCTTGGAGCTTCGAATGACTCGACTGCCAGCCCTCTAGAGAAGTCATGCTCATTTGAGAGTGGTCTTCATCACGCAGATAAGGAGACTCGGTCAGAAACCTTGAAGTCTACGTCCCAAGCCATTACTGGGCGCAACCTTCCACGTCTGCTTGAGAATAAGCGATGTACGAAGCCAAGTCTTACCATGGACAAGCCCATGCATGACTCAATCTGCAGAGACGTGAATAAGAGACTTACTGGGCCTGACATATCCAAGGACATCCCTCCGTTGAAGGCTTGTCAGAGCTTTCTCTCCAGTTACGTGGAGTGCTTTCATTGCCACTTGCCCCTGGTTCACCTCCAGACTATTTCGCATGGTGACATTCCTAGCCCCCTGATACTGGCTATGTGCAGTATCGGGGCTCTCTATCGCTTAGATCGCCGTCGAGCCCGGCGTCTTTGGGATCTTGCGCTGAGGCTGATTGAGCCAGTGAGTTGCTTCTTCTAAGATCTCATATTCAAGGCGAACTTTAGAGCTGATGATTGTGTACCCTGTAGATCCTCACGAGGGATTGTCCACTCTGGGTTATGCAGACAAAGTTTCTCCTAACGTTCTTCGCGACATTCAGTGGCGACAAAGACTTGGCGGCCCAGTCCATAGGGGAGTGTAGCCATTACACTTTAGTAAGTTCCAGCCCAGACTCCAGTGTTGCTATATGGAATGGACAGTTCAGAGTCAATACTTACGTCTTTATAGTTGTACGAAAAAATGCGACGTCAGCTGCAACGAGAAAACATGGACCTCCTAAGTTCAACATGGGCAGACTGGGTGCAACGCGAATCATGGAAGAGACTCCTCGGTGCCATATATGTGACGAATACGGTCAACACCATCATCTACGGCCTCAGTCCTGCCTTCAATGCCAGTCAAGATCTAGAAATTGAGCACTTCCATGACGAGAACCTCTGGAATGCGTTATCAGCCAACGAGTGGCGAGAACTGCGAGCCGCTTACAGAAAGAAGAACTCAAGAACCACCAAGGACATTCTGGAAGATGTCTTGGCCGAGAACAACGATGATTCCAGTTTCGAATCATACAACATCTCACCATTTTCTGCGCTCATCCTGGTACATGCTATCCTCATACACACCTGGCAACTCTCCCAACTTTCGGAAACCTCAGCGGTTTTCTCCTTTCGTTCAATAACTGGGAATCCCTCTCTAGGGAGCTCTCTTCTCTCAAATGCCTTAATCTCTTTAGACAGGTGTCACGGGCTACTAAAGCAAACTCGAGAAGGTCAGCTTGAGGATATGGACGACAACGACATCACGTCGCTGTGTTTCAGCTCACATGCAATCCTCAGAGCCGCCTACATCCGGCTCTTTGATAACACTAAGAGCTTTGATCGTCTCTGTCTGCTCGCTGAAGACCCAAGTACGATTGACAGCAACGTCACCACTTTCGCGAACACGAAGCTAGAGAGAAACAACGACTGCGTGAAGGTCGTCGAGAAGACGCTGGAGGGTATCCAGCTACCAGTGAAGATGGGCCACATGCTCATACGTAAGACAGCTGCTTTCCGATGGAGCGTAGAGCATGCGGTTGCAGCTTGGGACAATGGTAAGTGCTACCCCGCAGGTGAAAGACTATGGATTATGCTCAACAAATATTGAATAGTACTATTCACCACGAAATGGGCTCACGCGATCGAATTAGACAGGAGAAGGGGCATCGAGCCCAGTGCATCTGAACTAGACCTGCTCATGAAGATCAAAGACGTACTCGAGGAATCGGACTATGATACAGATGAGAGCGCATCCCTCGCTGCAGGCTTAGCTAAAACTTGCAGTTTATTTCTTCAAGACGTAGGTTATTCATTCTAGTCCTTGTCTTCTCTAGCACTTAATTATTGACGATGCGTCGCTAGGTATGGGTATGGGGTATCACAGTCAGGATGGGCGATGTTCTAGAGCGATTGGCACGGGCATACGAGCGAGAGATGGAGGCTGCTGGGCATGCATGTCAACCACAGAACTAGTGCATAGAAGGTGCGATCTGCATTGTACTATACGTGGGAGGTATATCAAACCTGTACCGTCCCGCAGACGTGTGATCAGTCATCAAGAAACCAATGAAAAACCTTGTGCGGGCATGATATCTCCGCAGAGCTTCCCTGCTTCGAGCACTCTCCCGTCCGAGCCAATCAACCTCGCAACTAGTCCAACGTCATCATCAGATAAGACACGGTTTCATTACTACCATTTAGTCTTGCAAAGAGTATCAAAGCGCAGGTAGAGCAGCTTTGGACAAGACTGACTGACGAGGCTAGCGCCACAGTCAATATCAGCGGCATGAGGTGGGTGCTATGCCACGGTCTTCAAGATACTGCTTCGAGCGGGTCCGAGGCTTCGATGACGCTCAACGTGAACTGACAAGCCTGGTTCATTGAAAATAGTCCAGCATGACGTTCCGTGTAGCAAAAGCAGCCAATGCTCAAGGCGCGATGGATGGCTTGACGCGTTGCTGACGCGATTCTCACAGCAACTGCATGTGGGGGAGCTATCAAGCTGCTCGAAATCCCATGCGGGGTAACGTGGGGTAGCTATCAAGAGCTTCAGCAGCAAGACAAGATACATCGCGGGATTCGCTCCGGGTGATCCGGTCGCTCGCCTTCAGGGTGTGAGATCGGTATTATTCACCAATTTGAAGTTAAGTCGATGCACCAGAGTTTGATTGAAGCTGTCAAGCTGGTTTCTGAAGTCTTTGCTGAAGTCTCCACCTAATTTGAATCCTGAGCGTACATTACCTTGGCCACATTGGACTCATCGATCAAACGAGCATTTTCTTTAACTGTATCAACTTCTTGACGAGCTATTCTGAACTTCCAAAAGCACTGGATAATCAAGATGGCCTCAGTTGCCCAAGATTTCGATCACCCAATCATTGGTAAAGTGAAGGGCCAAGCATCCGACGGCGTAATCCAGTTCCTGGGCCTTAAGTATGCTACTCTGCAGCACTGGTTCGACAATGCGAAGCTTGCCCAGTACGATGGCAGTGGACTCAACGCTACACGCCACGGGTGCGTTATACTCATGTTTTCTGGTAAAACCAAATCACTTAGTTAATCGTGTTTATCAGTTCGCAAGCCGTATCCGACCCAGATGGAGTGAAGAATGAACACATAATCATTCAGAAGTCACTTCCAATACCCGAGTTCCCCGGTCTCTCGGGGACCGAGTGTCTTAATCTGAATCTTACAGCGCCCCTGGAAATCGGGGACCTAAAGCAAGTGCCAGTTCTGGTTTTCATTCACGGTGGAGGGTTCGGCACGGGATCCAACTGGTGGCCTCAGTATGATACCAAGCGTATAGTCCAACATTCAAACAAGCTTGGGAAACCCATCATCGCCATCAACATCAAGTACAATATATCTTCCCCAAATAAACCGCTCTAGCTTTCGCAACTAACATTGATAGTTACCGTCTCGGAATTCCTGGATTTCTGACATCAGAGGAGCTTCGCAAAGAGGGATTCAAGAGCAATCAAGGTCATCATGATCAGAGGATGGCTTTGGAGTGGGTGGGAAAATACGTGTCGGGATTCGGGGGAAATCCTCAGCGTGTGACCGTTGTAGGTGAAAGCGCTGGTGGCAGTAAGTCTCATCCGTCGGTCCTTCGGCCTTTCGGTCTCGAAACCGAGACCGCATCTCTAACTTTTGTGTAGTCTCGGCGGGCCGTCTATTATACTCTGAAAAAGCTCTTGCCTCTCAACTCATCATCTTGGGAGGCTCGCCGCCGTCCCTCGCACCCCTGGATCTCGGAGTGGCTGAGCAGGCGTACACAGGCGTTCTCAAAGCTTTGGGAGCTGGAGATGTGAGTTCGAGTGAACGTATCAAGATCTTGTCAAGGGCGTCCCCCGAAGAGCTATCCTCGAAGATTGGCAGAACCCTTCCTTTCCTGCCGGTTCTCGATGAAGAAACAGTCCCGTTCGTGCCGACGTTCGAGACAGCGTCAGCTGGGAAGCTAATTCCCAAGACAACATCTTGTAAAGCTATCATGGTCGGGTACGCCCCCTTGGATGTGAGTACCATCAAACATTTCGGTCACATTCTCGGCTTAATGTAACTAAACCAACCACACAGGCAAGCATATTTGGGTTTATGGGTCTTTTCCAGCGAAAGGAGAACATCGCAGCCTCGTTCACGCAAATCATCAACACAGCTCTGTCACACCATGCCGGCATTGCTGCGCAGATTCTGCAGGCATATGACATTAATGACACCACAAACGACGATGAGGCTTTCATCCGAATTCTCCAATTCGCCTCTGATATTGGATTCCGGGCAACGGCAGAGTCATTTGCCAACAGTTTTCACGGCGACTCCTATTTGTTGGAGTTTGCCGAGCCCAATCCGTGGGAAGGGCCATTTAGGGGCTACAGCACCCATGTCCTCGACGTGGCATTTCTCTTCCAAAACTATAAGGAATATCTCGGAGAGGAGCAGCGAAAGTCCGCCGAATCATTTGTCACCGACATAGTTGACTTTGTTCATGGTCAAGCTCCATGGAGGCGGTTTCAAGGTGCCGGCGGGCGGATGGTGTACCAAGATGGGACGAGAGCTTACAAGGAGGCCGGGGCCAGCACGACACGGTATGATTTGCTCCTCGAGTTGGGGGAAAAGATTGGGCTGGACACACTCCTCAAGGGTTGGGAGGCATTCCTGTTCCATCAATAGATGGTCCACGGACCAACTGGAGAGCTTCAGGCTAGGGGATGCTTGTCAAAGGCATCGGGTGGTATCTATCAATATTCAGAAGAATCTACCGTATTTTCGGCACGTTTACTGGTCATCTTCCCAACGGCTTTCACTCCCTGAATCTGTGATCAAAACACCAAACACTCGTTGCCTCAAGAATTTCACGTGTGGCACCCTTTCAACATGTCTGTGTACTTGAAAGGCCATCGGAATTCCTGATCAGTACCTCCACGCGAATGATCACGAGATTTCTTGGTAATTGAGTGATAGTTTAGCTGCACTTCAATGTCGAAGCAGAGGGTGTGCGTGTGTGTGTGTGTGTTTATGTGTGTGGATGTGTGTTTTTGCCGCGGAAATAGTCACCTGATGCGGGGTCGACTTGCGAAGATAGAGCTCCTGACCGCGGGGAAACCATCATTACTCATCCAGTGTCCTCCGCTTGACACTTGGTCTTTCGTCCGGTGTATCCTGTCCTACGGAGATGACCTAAAGCTCGGATTACAGTTAGAAATCCTGCCAGAATTAGCGTAACTCTGTTTGTTCTTTCCTATGCCATTCGAATAACGATGGCCTATACTCTTGAAAGCAAATCTCTGGGTTCAACTCTATGTGGCGTTGATTTAGGGACGATCGCACAGTTTAGAGGCATCCCTTATGGGAAGATTGTTTCGCGATTTGCCAAACCCGAGCCATTAGTGGCACTGCCGCAAAGCATCAACTGTACTGAGTTTGGGTACGTTCTTTTTGACGTTCGGTCTGAACATCACGCAGGGTTTTCGGTGAAGGAAGGCTGACTAGTTCTCATGTTCACAGCCCTCGGTGTCCGCAAGTCAAAGTTGATGTAGGGCATCTATTGCGTATACCTCCTGAGCACAGGCTACCCGTTGAGGCCGAAGATGAGTTTCGATGCCTCAACTTGGACATTACGGTGCCCAAATCACAAGAACTGCTGAGGGCCCAAAGATTGCCTGTTTTGGTCTGGATACACGGTATGCTTGTCAACTTCAGGGGCTGATGTTTTGACTAACACGGACATCTCAGGCGGCTCACAGGCGGTTACTTTTGGAAGCGCGGCCTCTGGCGTGTGCGGTACGAACTGCGCCCTGCTTTCCGCTTTGTCCCCTTATCCGCACCCAAAAGATCCTTCGTGAAATGTATCGTGTTAGCGCTAGCATACTAGGCACTGACAGCTGCAAACTTTAGACACGAGAAGAATTGTGGAAGACTCCGTGAGCCTGAGTAAACCCGTCATCGTCGTGACAGTTCAGTACAGACTCAACATCTTCGCGTTCGGAAGCGAAAGTAGCTCGAGCAACCTCGCTCTAAAAGATCAATCATTGGCTCTAAGATGGGTCACTGATCACATTCCGGATTTTGGAGGTGACCCGGTAATAATCAACATTCCCACCTGCCCAAGACGGGAGACCACTGACGGGCTTCTATAGAATGATGTCTCACTGGCTGGAGAAAGTGCTGGAGCGGTATACTGCCACGCCCACATAGCGACCGGCCTTAGAGTGAGAAGAGTCATACTCTCTTCTGGCTCGCTGTACCTTTCTCCTCCTCAGCCAAGGACAAAGGCTTCAGCTTTACGCCAAACACTCGTGAATCATCTTGGTACACTGGGTGACTTTGACTTGAGCACAGCCCCTGTTGAAAAAATGGTGAAGGCCATGGAACTGGCTGGAATACATTCGTGGTTCCTTCAAGTGGATCCTACTCTTGTTGGGTGGGAGACAACAATAGGGGCTGCGGAGAGCGTGATGATAGGTGATGTTCGAGACGAGGTATGTGTTGTGCCCATGGGCTTGAACTGGCTGTCCTCCTTCCAATTAACCTTCACAAATAGGCCGTTCTCTGGCGAGAGGGCGTATGGAAAATGGAAGCTTCGGATATTGCTCAGGCTTTCAACTATGCAGGCGAACATCAGGACACGCTCAAGAAACTCTACAACATTCACTCTGACAGAACCTCCGCTTCCAAGATAGGGGCGTTGGACTTCATGAATGACTACAAATTTCTTCTCCCAGCGGAGAACATTGCTCGCCTATTTAGGGCCGCAAACAAACCCGCCTATCGATATCTCGTTGATGAGTGCAATCCCTGGCAACCCTCAAATGGAGCTCATCACGCGGTGGATTTGCTTTTTCTTTTCGGTGGATTTGATCTTTCATTTGCTCCTGGTGCACAACAGACTGGAAAGCAGATGCGCAAGTCAGTGATCGAATTCATTCACGCCCAGGAGCCATGGCAGTTGGGTAGCTATGCAGCGTTCGGACCCTACGGGATGTTTCAAGAACTTGATAGCGTCGGCGTCAAGCTCCGGAGACGATCGGAACAGGCGGAATTTCTGCATTCGGTTCCTTCAGAGATGTTGGATAAGGTGTTCTTTGCCCTTGCGGCCGGCCGAATTAGCTTACTAAACTGATAGCAGTCATAAAGCGCGTCACAGTAGTACGCATACACGCACGAGTAGTAGTTCAGTAGTAGTATGGTAGTTTCAATATTTCCAAAGTTTGGCAAGTCTTTCCAGAATTGATTTCCCAGATTCCCGCTATTCTTGGTACTGCCCAGAATCGGAGACATATGACTCGCCCGACCAGACTTGAGAGCATCTTGGATCGCTCTGATGCCAAACTAGACTAAGATGTGCTTATGGCCTGCCCTGCGATACGTGCGTCCGTGGACCATGTCCGTATGCCTGCTCGTGCCGGCCTCTCAAAATGCTACCACCTGCCTCACATGGGTCCTCTTTCCGACGGGACGACGGTTGCGGGGTTTAACTCGCTGCTTTTTGACAAAGAGACTCCGCAAACCGTTCGATTTTTGAAATACAGCCATGCCGAAAATAGTCAGGCCAACAATCAGTGGGCCACCTGGGTGCCTGATGAAGAGAAAACTAAGGCAATCTAATTAGATAGTACCCCATGTGGGGGACACACACAGCATTGTTACATCGCTGGATGATGGATGGTGGGGTCCACGGGTGTTTGTGGAGGCCACGTCCGGCGAGCGTTCATCCTGGATGTGGAGGAGTTCCGGTGCCCGCGCCGGTGATGGGCGCGGGGGAACGGGGATCATGCGGTATTCACATGAGACGTAGAGTGAGTGAGCAACGCATCATCGAATGTAACTTCCAACGAATTCATAACTGCAAAGGCTCTTTTACTTCAAAACAGACCCTGAGTGTACTGCGTGCAATCACAGATGCACACGCCCTACTGTATCTTACATTTGACCCGAACCACACATCATTACACGTACGGGTACACCGTACATCAAATTTACCAGATAATTATTCTCGCGTGAACCCTCCCGAGCCTCCCTTTTCGCAATAACCCCATAGTAATTGGGTGTCCGAACCTTCTTTGACAAGCACACCTCCCCCCTTCTGACTAGCTAGCCATGTCCCCAGGGCTGAAAAATGTAAACACGCTGGCCTGTCCACTATCAAACTTTGACTGAGCATACCGTTTAGGTTATCATTGTCGGGGCCGGCCCTGCTGGGCAGCTGCTAGGGCTGCTTCTGGGTCGAGACGCCATTCCCGTTACGATCGTCGAGCAGACATTGGAGCTCGACGATAAGCCGAGAGCCACACACTACGCTCCACCGGCGATGAAGGTCCTGAATCGCGCTGGCCTGGGGAGCGACTTGCGGAAATACGGGTTTCTTCCCGATGGAGTCGCATGGCGCAAGCCAGACGGGACGCGCATTGCGGGCATCAACAACGAGATTGACGGTGATGATCCAGATCGCATGGTTGCACTGCCCTTGTGCGACCTGGCGCGGTTGATCTACGATCACTCGAAGCATCTACCATCAGTCACGTACCTGTTTCATCATCGGGTGACAGCAATCGGTCAAGACGATTCCCGTGCCTGGGTCGACGTGGAGAACGGAGACACAGGGGATAAGTCCCAGCTTTTTGCGGATTTTATTATTGGGTGCGACGGGGCTAACAGTATTGTCCGGCGATCGCTGTTTGGGAACGAATTCCCAGGCAAGACATGGGATGAGCAGATCGTGGCCACGAACGTAGGTTATACCCTCTTTCGGCCCTTTGTCGATGTGGTCCTCTCTGTCGAGAAGTCCGGGTGCTCAAGTGTCAGGTCGACGAACTGATGATCTCACAGGTCTACTACGACTTTAGTCGCTTTGGGTACTCAGACTCCAACTTCATTCTAGACTCGAAGGACTGGTTCATGGCGGCCAAAATCACCAAAGATGGCCTATGGCGTGTAACGTATGGCGAAGCTACGGGCTCGACGTCCGATGAGATTCTCGGCAGGCAGCCGGAGAGGTTTAGAAGTATACTACCTGGACACCCTAAACCGGACGAGTACAAGCTCGTCAGTATCAGCCCATACAAGGTCCATCAACGGCTAGCCAAGAGAATGATTGCCGGCCGGATTTTGCTCGCTGCAGATGCAGCGCACCTCTGCAACCCCTTGTAGGCATCTTTGCTCTTTTCGCTCGGTAATTTCCGTGGCCCGTAGCGCGCAGGTTGTGCTGACGATCGTCATGGTAGTGGGGGTCTCGGCCTCACCGGCGGCATCGTCGACGTCGAAGGTCTCTACGAGTGTTTGTCCGGGATACATCGCAATAAGGCGAGCCGGAGCATTCTGGAAGTCTACGACCAAGTGCGGCGACAGAAGTATCAAGACATTATTGACCCGATATCTAGCGACAATTTGCGACGCATGTTTAGCGTCCACCCCGACGAGGTGCTGGCTTCCGACCCGTTTCTCAAGCTTTGCAAAGACGCTGAATCGGATCACGAAAAGCTGCAGGAACTGAGCAAGGTGAGTTTGGATGACAGGCCACTCTGACGTTTTGATCGTTATTTCCTCTCAGTTTCGCAGTTTGGCTCACAGAAAGGTTCTCCTAGCAGGGCGCACAAGCACTGGGCTATGACTTTACGAAGCATTACACTTCTGGAGATGGTGGTGTAGGAGGGGGAGTAGGCACTCGTCTTTAGCAGCAAATAAGCTGAGCTAGCAGCAAAATAGAAGACTCACCGGCCCAAATCGATTGGTTCTCGGGAGAAGCCGAATCAGCATAGCAGAAAAAGACCCGGCACTGGGCACATTGTTTGCCGCAATAGGCTAAATGCAAATATACTCGATGTTGTCGAATCTTTGACAATGCATGAACTGTCAAACTGAACCAGCAGAATGGTAGCTTCTGCCACACCGTTGGTCAGCCCTGTGCGCCTGGCTACTAAGGATGAATTGCCGACAACTAAACTTTTGAAAAGCGTAACAGACAGACTGCATTCGGGACACCCGATGGCAAGCTCGTCCAAGCACACGAGATCTCGCAACCCACAAGAAGGGGGGGGGACGGGGGGAGGGTGTGTAGGGAAAAACTCTGACCAAAAGAAACAGCGACGAGAAAACATTGACCTCTGGGTGATCCGTTTCTTCTACTAAGCACAGAGTCGGCTCGCAACTGTGCCCTCTCAAGGGAAGCAGGGAGAGGGAGGGCAAGCGCCGTGAGCCATAATAAGCGCAGGAGCTGTCAAATCAACAAGAAGCGCAAAGAAAGTTCGCCGGATGTTCGATCTCACGGTAATTCGCTTTCGCTATCCCTGAAAGCTTCTGGTTCACTTAGCTTTGTGCAACCTAAGGAGAAAATAGCTACCCGTGCAAGCCTCTCGAATGATTACCCGGCAAGTGGGCAATTTTGGCTAGTTCTTGTCTGGCAATACCTCCGCTTACCAGGTCGCTGTGCAATGGCTGAACCTTAATAAAGACACATCACGGAGCGGTCCGATTGGGAGGGAACAGTGATAGGCCAGACAAGCACGCTGACCATCACTTCTCACTTATACGCTGCAAGTCCCAAGCGGCAAGCCAGCATACCAGCGGGTGATTATACGACAGGAATGGATGTGAAAGAAAGCACATAGGGACCCGTAAGGAAGTGGAAGGGGGTGCAGGCTGGCGATAGTCAAGGGTGTTCCTGTTTGACCGAGCCTGAGATTCATGGCGACCTAAAAGAGACATGTGAAACCACAGCTGCCCGAAAAAGGGCATAAGGGAAAAGGATGAAATGTTCGGGGGAATTTGGCATCTAGTGTCTGATAACAATAAGGTTTGAGGCTGCCCCCGAAGGGCGCATTTGACGGCAATTTGGGAAGCCCACCGGCAGGCTTCTCTCGGGGGTTGCTGGCGCTGGTGCCAAAAGGAAAAAAAAAAAAGAAGAAGAAGAAGCTGAGGCGGACGGTTGAATAGCAGCCCTAACAGCGAGAATTGTGGCTGGGCTCAGACTGACTGTTTCCAGGCAACCTTACTGGGACGGGGATGACGTCGGCTAGCCGACGCCACGTAAACTCTATTTGTATGACGCTTTTCTTTTTTGTGTTCCAAAGGTTGAGCCCCTGTTCGTGTTATGTATGTGCTGGAGTGTGTGTGTGGTATGTCCCTGTGTGTGTCCTCTGAGTGTGAGTACCTAGCTAGGAGGTATGAATGTGCGTGTCGGGGGCCGCTAGGACGGAGTACACCAGTCAGTCAAGTCAGTCAAGTCAAGTCTATCGGGCCATACAAGGGGTTAACTCGGGTTCAAGCGTCACTGTCACGACTCTGACTTGCAGTAGTGTTGAGTTGTAAAAGTGTCAAGTTGCGAAAGGTTGCTCCAGCTCGACGAAAGGGAGACTAGGCCGAGCCAGCCCGTTTCCTCGGGCATGCTTCCGTAGTAGTGCAGCAGCAGTAGCAGCAGCCAAAAACACGTGAGGAGAAAACCTTTCTGTCGAGCCGTTTGCAACTGTGGCTGTGACGGCGCCGCTAACAAATAAAACAAGCGACGAAAGTGTATGATGCCGAGGCGGATCGTTCTGCCCAGTTCCACCCCCCCTTCCGCCTCGGAATTTCTGCCCACGCAGCAATTCGGTTCTGTCTGCCCATCGACGATCCTTGCTCGACCAGGTTAGGCTGGCGTTTGATGGGCTAGACTCTGGCTACGTGCTCCTCGTCTCTCTCGACTGATGTTCACTCGCAACACACCCACCGGGCCACGGTACAACACCCACACCTCTCTCTCCTCCTCAGCCAGAGATACTTGTATACACACCCAGGAGGAGAAGGACAGACTAAGACAGGCTCGGCTTACCTTGCTTTGGCACAACTGACCCCACCTCCAGAGCAAAGACGAGCAGGAAGGTGGACCCTGAATATCTCGCAGTGATCAGTCTCACTGCGTCCTCGTTCTCTTCTCCGCCGTTAAAACTGTGCTGGCCTCCCACACTCTTCGGTTGAAAGTTGATGCCTGGTGCCGTTACCCGCCCGCAGGCCAGCTATGATACCCAGTAATCAACCGTTTGACAACGATAGAGACAAGCTTCGAACCGTCCTTCTTTAGGCTGTCTCTTTTGACACGTTTTTTGGTTCCTTTTTTATTTTTTCTTGATCCTTTAACCCTCGGCAAACGGTTGTCGATTCTTTCGATTTATCACCATCAACCCACCTGGACATGGTGTTGAAGCGTCGACTAGTTGATTTCCAGCGCGAACAAGATCCCTTTGCCGTCAAGGTGTTCCTCCCGCCGACCGATCATTATCGCCAACGCAACTGGATCATGACGTCCCCGGAGCAGCAGATGGACACCCTGCGGGAAGGTCTTAGCCGGGTGATTCTAGACCAGCTTGCGGAAACTCTGCGGGATTATTCATCTGGAAACTTGGCGAACCCGGTGCTTCGATTTGAGGCTTTCATTCAGGATGGCGAGCCGGGAACGCAGGGGCAAACACCCCGCTCTCCCGTGGTTTCGGTAAGTTGCATCTCCATGTTTATCATCGCGGGCTGGACCGCGCGTTGGCGCCGGAATGTGTGCAAGTGTTCAGCTTTCGTGCTGCCCGTGGACTCCAGTTCTACAGCGCAGACAATTCCGGAGATACCCAATCAAGACAGATAAAGAGCGGATGACTCAGCATCAACTGATTTACTGCTGGGTCTATTTCACTTGCTCCTTCGTGTTGCGGCATGGGTGGTTGGGTTGCTGGTTGGGTACGAGGGTTTTTCTGCTAACCACCATCACCAATTATACAGAAAATGGTAGACTTGTCTGGCATCATTTCACAGAGCGCAAATAACAGCCCGAATACGAGCCATGCGGGAAGAGAAAGCACCATCGAACACCCGACACCGCCCACCATCAGCCCGCAATTGATGATGGACGACGTCGCGGCAAGCGCCAGCCGGGCTTTTGTCCGGACACAACGGACGCCATCCCAAGGACCGCCACAAATGTCACCAGAGACCGATGCAAATGCTTTTATTCAAAGAAGAGGAACGGGAGCTCTACGACCAGTTAGGGGAGCCGCCCCAGTGGAGGAAGAGCAGCCGGACAGCCAGAGGCATATGCAGGTTGCCAACAACTTTCCTAAACGCGCAAAGATTCAGACAGACGTCGTCTTCATCCCGCAACAGTCGTCCATTGACAAATTCGTCGTGAGTGTTTGGGAGCAGATCCATGGCGGTATCAGCTTAGATCCCCAGAGTCTGCTTGAACAGTGGCAGCTCACGGCGACGGCGGCAACAGCAACCATTAACAATGCTGGCAAGATTCACGTTCCCGAGCAGCTCGAGCTCGGCTTGCTCCAAGCGCCTTCGGCAGACGGCACGCTGACTGAGATCGACATGGAGGGAACCTTCAACCGCAGCAACATCTTTTGCCGAAAGGTTACGCAAGCCAGCCGCGCGTGCCGCTCGATCGAGGTCATTGTCCAAGCGCGGTGGATCGAGCACTTCGACTCGTATGTCGAGCTGCTTGCCATCACGAACCCGGGCATGTCCCCTACCAAACGCCGTAAGGCGGCGCTCATTGAGGCGTGTAACGACTTTGGATGGTCTGAGAAGGAGTTGCGGAATAAGATGGCCATCTGGCGCGGCTACAAGGAAATCAAGGACGCGGGAGGTTGGGCCGCGCTCGTCTTCGCCGGCATGGGACTTTACCGCTTCTGCAAGTACCGAGTTGGATTTAATCCGGATAGCATGCAACGACTCCGGTGCCTACGGCCCCGAATCGAGGTCGCCGCCGACACGCTTCACCCTACGTGGCGCCAACTACTCATGATCGTCGGCGAGGGCGCACAACGTCGGTTCTGCGGCCACCCGCATGACTGGGTTGTCCGCCAGGACGGTTCGGACCCGGTCCCTCTCCGGTCGACATATCTCGAATACGACCCCTACTTCAGCTTCGAACAGCTCGAACACTCCGTCATGGACATGAGCGCGTGGGGCACCGATGATCCGCGATGGGTGCCGCCGATGAACGCCGTGGCTTGCGTCCAGGGCATGCACACGTGCCACTCGTGCGGCCAGGAGCAGTCCGAAGACCCCAAGATCAACTCGTGCTACTGCTTCCCGACGCTATTCGGGTCCGGGCGCCGGAGCCCCTGCCCGGTGCAGGTGTTCCGGACCTCTGACGGACGCAACAACGGCCTGATGGCTCTTTGTCCGTTCGAACGCGGCGCGGCGATAGGAGAGTTTGTCGGCCTCATCACAAAAGATTTGCAAAACATGGACGTTATGGACAGCTCGACGGGTGTCCGGGCCTATCAGATCTGGCAGGGGCGGCAGGGCAACTTCACGAGGTTCGTCAACCACAGCTGCAAGTCCAACGCGCAATTCCAGCAGTTTGTGTGGATGAGCACGCAGCGCATCATCCTGGTGAGCAAGGGCATCGAGGCGGGTCACGAGGTCACGGTGGACTATTCTGGGAGCTACTGGCGCGGTTTGGACAAAGAATGTCTCTGCGGAGAGTCATGCTGTCGGTATAGGAACGCAGCTCGATAGGAGGAAGACAAATGCGATGGAGTGGACTCCGTACTCTGTATCCGTAGAGGAGAATTATTACTACGAAGATTAGGGCGAAGCGGGAAACGGGGTCGAGTTGAGCCACACCACTACACACGGACGAAGCTGCGGCTGAGGCTGCGGCGAAGAGGGGGGGGGGTGAACAAGACCCAATTCTCATGTTCCAGTGGAAGAAAAAGAAAAGATTAATCGCAACTACCGATCATTGTTCTTTTTTTTTTTTTATTGCGATTTTAGGATTAGTCTTCGGCGTAGAGACACAGGCGTGGACGGGCAGGCGAACAGATGCTTCAGGTTATTGATCGCAAGCCTTTCCTTGTTCCTAATCCTATTTGGTTAAAACATCCGAAGTCAGATTGACCAGTCAGCCGCCGCAGCATCCGAGACTCTGACAACATTCTTTTCTCACTTCTCTTCTCCGCGACTGAGTCGACTGAATCAACTGAATCGAGTGAGTCGCTGTTCGAGAGAAGGAAGGGAGGGACACAGGCAAATAGGTAGGCCCGGAAAGGATGGGGCCATTCCGAGCGGGTTCAGTGGTGACATTTAGCCCATATGACACCGGTAGATGAGTTCCGCTTGTTGATCCTCGCTACATTCCAGTCCTCCATAAACCCAACCATGTGTCCTGTCCCCTCTGTCCGTCCTAGCCGTTTGTCTCTAGCTCACACTCACTGGCTCGCAAAGTTCGTGTCAGCTAGCGGGTTCCAGGTTTGTGCCAACGCCCTGCGCTAAAGCGGCTAAAACGTGCCCCTTGAATCGCAATGCTTTCGAACTACATTAGCTCGGGCCGCCGTTCCCCGACCAGCGTTTTCATCTTGGGTACTTTTACCCTTCTTAACTTCCGCCAAAGTCTCTTCTTCGACCGCTACGACGACTAGAAATTTTTATACTTTGCCAAAAGTACGCCAAAGGGAACGGCGGACTGGCCCGTTCTCCCTTCTTGGAGTTTGTCCCGAAGCTTTGAAGCTCACCCCCAAGGCGGTCTGTGAACCATGGGACCGCCGCCGCGTCAAACAGGGAAGTCAGGGTCTGGAAGCCCTGAGTGTCCCGAGGCTTATGAACGAACCCTTTTTTCCCGCCTGCTCGTGAAGTGGGCGATGGCCTTATTCTTTTGTCATCGCGTCCCGCTACCCGACGGGAGTGTGATAAACTTCAGCGCTTCAGCAATGGAGCGTGTAACAAAATCTTGACGTAATAGAGAGTCCACTGGATCTCGTTTCTCGGACGAAAGGTCTTGTCCGCCCCGGTGGCCTAATCTCTTCTATGTTCCCCCTCCTCAGACGTTCAGCCAGCCTTCGGGCTCCTGTTAGGACCTCGTTAGGACTGAGAACCTCGTACCCGAAAACTTTAGCTTCTAGCGGATGTGTCTGCGATAGCGAGATAGATATGCGGGTGTGGGACTGCATTGCCCATCAGATCCCGCAGGCTGTTGTGGGCTCGGTAGTAGGCTCAGTTGGCCTTGTGGCGCCTCGTGTCTCTCGTTTCTCTCGTTTCTCTCGTTTCTCTCGTGTCGATTACCATACCTTTGTGTAGACCGTCGCCTTTACAGTTTCGACGGGTTTTCAGGATTCCTCAAAACCAGAACTAGAAGCATATTGACAGCTACTAGTCGTGGACGCTAATGAATGCTCCCTATCATCACTGGCGCGCGTGAACCCGTGTATTATCTCGCGCCCACCGTCATCTCACAGCTCAGGGGGGGCGCATCAGGGGGTGCTAATGAGCCACCAAAGCCCGAAAATAACAATCATGAGCACTAGAAGACCAAGACCGAGGATCTCGAAAATCCCCCGCACATCTATACTAGCAAGATGAGGATCAGAGTCCATGTGGCTTGCGAGCTAAGGAGTGGTCATGCATCTCGGGCCTCATCCGGGAGTCTTCCCGCTCTTCTGAGACCGTGTCCCTCAACCGCTGGTTCTTACTGGCGCCGATGCCAATGCTCACCACTGATCCATCCCGCGCTTGACACATCGGCATATCGCACTTAGGGGGAAATCCCACACATTCCCATAATGTCGATGCGCAGAGGCCCTCGCAGGCCTCACGGAGGCAATTATTACCGGTCAGTTACCAAGAAACGAGAACGAACACAGACACTATGCAGCTGAGACTGAAAATCTCACAGTGATAGAAAGGTCTCGTGACGGACGGCGTCGTCTCACACTACTGCAGGGCACAGAGAGCCGAGTAAGTAGCCTTTTTTGAGCTGACACCTCTTGGGCAGCTCGAACCGCACCGGTGCGTCCCCGAACTTGGGTTGACCGTGTAGCAGTCGGACAGTCTTTGCCCGTTTCCTTGGCGTCCCATGGTCCTCGTCAACTCTGAACTGTTTAATCGACTGTTTTGACATGCTTCCCTCACTTCCAGAAGACGGGGCTGACCACACCCACCCCCCTTCAGGCTTCCCTCCCCCCTTCTTTTCATATCACGCTTTGACGAACGGACATTGGAAAAACGGCCCATTTAGACCGTTTCGCTTTGGAGTTCTCGGATGGTTCTTGATGACTATTTCTAAAAATTGCCGAGAATGAGAGCCGTTGCACACGTTCGAGTCAACTTCAAGAGTGGGCTATGTAGTACAAGTCTAGCGATAGTGGTGCTGAGGATCCCGCCTACGAAGCTCGGCGGAGACGCCGTCGGGCACTAACAGCAGGAGAGAAAGGTTCTTCATCCTGTAAGAACACCCCCTGGTTACGAGTTCGCCAGCACGCACCAGGCCTGACGAACGACTTTTATCATCAGTCGAGTAGTTAAGCCAGTTGTCATCCTTGTCTGCAGAGCAAAGTTGTGTCCCATCCTGTGTCCGATTCTTTGAAATGTTGTTCTGCAGGGTAGGCAGAACGTTGCCTTTGTGTGACGAGGCCCTGTGGTGCTGGAAAGCCTATAGACATGACCATGTTCATCTGGTGAGCTAATTACTTACAGCGTGAACCAATTTTACCCAGCTCCGGTCCACCCCCAGCATCACCAAAGATCCCAGATTCCAGCGTCAGCCAGCCCAAGAAAACTTTTTGCAACGATCGATCGAATCCCGTCGACTGAACAATCCCCTCTCTTCATCACTTGATACTCCCCTTCACCCCGGGCCTTGGCCAGAGACTTCCGGACCCAAGAAAGTTGTGAACTTTGGCTCTCTGGATCGTCTCGCTTGCCCCCCAGCCATCGATTAGGATTGCTACCCAACAAACTTCTGCAGGAGCGAATAAAAGGCGATGATGGCTCGGCCATATCTCCTATTTGGCCAGAAAAAGAAACATAAACCTGGCCGAGAGAAATCAGACCAGCAACAGAGGCAGCCAGGTTCCGGGGCTGAGAAGCATTACTGCAGTGTCACGCAACAATCACGATCTGTTCCCGCCGGGAACGAACTCCCGGTCGGTATGCCACACTGGCAGGCAATCAATGTCTCATAGAATCCCCTCTGACGGACGACTCCGGGGACACGCAATCGGAGGCCCAATGGCGTCCAAGCGGTTCCCGCCGGCTATGCCTTCGCCGGGACAACTCGCGGCTAGGTCCCTATTGGCCAACACTCGGGATCAGGATTGGCGCGTGAACATGGCGAAGGCCTCGTTGCAAGTCGTTAGCCACAGTTATGCAACCTGCGAGTGGTTGTAGTACGACTGTTCGAGTTGTCGGAGTTGCCTAACTAAGATCTTGCTGTTGGGCAAAGTAGTTGGTAGAGTCAACTCCGACGAGCCAACAAAGAGCGTTGGAAGTCCAAAGCCTTTTGCTATCAACTCCATGTGTCTACTAACCAACAAATCGTGCGTAAACCGATCTCAACAGGAAGCACAGGCTTAGGAGATTTGCCTAGAAATTTGCAGGAACCATGGAGGGCTGCCCGAATTCCTTAAGAAGAGGACCAAGTTGAATCAGTAGGTAAAATCAAGTTTTTCTACACAATTGGACGCGTTGGTTGAGTTGGAATTGGGAAACTGGAAGAATTTTCGCTGACTGTGACCTGTGTCTGTTTAGCAACCAACATGATGACCGACGACACGACTGAACGAGCAAATAACTCAGAGTCTCGGTGAATCTGCAGATTCTTCTTTCCTCTATACATTTTCGGAATTTCTTGACATTTTCGTCTAGGATTGTCGAAAGGTCCCTTGACTCTGGCAATTGAGGCAATTTGTGTAAGTGTCGGACGACGAATGGTTGTTTGTTACACTTGTCGCCAATTTAATTTTGGTACGACAAGTGTTCCAAAGACTTGAAGTCACAGCTCGATGCAGGATTCAAGAATGTTCAAAGAGCGACAGATTGGGTCTATGGCGTAATTCGGTTTTCGGAGAGGCAGACAAGTCTATTCAGCTGTGAGTTGCACCTTGCACACCGTTTTGAAATGCTGCAAAATTGATGGTGATGGCGTAAGAACGTAGTTACAACTGTTCAGTTTGTTATTTCTATGACTTGTGGGTATCTAAATCTTCCAATACTGAGACTTGCAGGTTACCTTAGCGTCGGCCGAATCGAAAATCGCATATCCGCGGACCGGACTTCAGAGTCTCAGGACGACTTTGACAACCGCAGTAGTCGCCCGACGTCTTACACAAGTGTCTCACAAACATTTACGTCAAGTTTGACACATTACGAATACGGGAAACAAAGCAAACATTGAGCCAATGGCAGTCTAATTGTGGACTATACCAACGAATCAGCGCCTTTTCACGATAACCTGGGAAAAGCCTGGATGGTTCTATGCTTTGACCTCGCAGGCTCGCAGGCCTTCCCTCTCTCTTTCTCCCCGCAAATTCGCAGCGTAGAACAGATCGGATGGCTGACAGCGTTTCTAGTTTCTATAGATTTGTATCAAGTCACGTGCGAAACTTCCCATCGAATTCATGCGTAGCGAGCGACGGAATCTGTAGAGTTCTATTTGTCGGCTTTACAGAGCTCCCTCGTAAGTTCAATGATTTCAAAAGCCGACCTCTTCGAACCCGCGGACGCCGAGCCTACCCCAACGAGCCGATTTTGGATATTCTCAAGCGGTGGCAATTCCTACTGGAAAAGCCTATGCGTTGTACTACACCAGTGAAGTCTCCAAGAAGTTTGAGTGGCGGTTGTGGCCAATCAATACTGTTTGAGCTGAGCAAATAATGGTAACTAACGTTGGAGAGCGTTGAGTTGAATAGAGAGCAAAAAAGGGGCCCTTTCCGAATTAGGTGATTACCTGCTCAAACACGCTCACAGCCGGTTGTTTTGCACGACGCCACATCCATCGCAGTGAGCAGAATAAAAAAAATAGCAGAGATAGATATATGAATGAGGCGTTTTCCCCAAACTTTTTTTGTCGGGTGTTTGTGAAGAAGAGCAGTATTTCTGCAATGATCGCCGGGCGTGTGCTGCAAACGTGAATTGACATGGAATTATCAAACATACGAGGCAGAGCACAGAGCAGCTGCAGCGGTTCAAGCCGCTCGAGCGCGTCGACGGGTACAGCGTCATCGGGGATGCACGAAGCGTGAGCAAAGACGCACTCCCCCGTTTTATCCTCGTCCGGGGCTTGGACTTGCGGGAGAGAAAAACAGCAGCTGCAGGAAACATATGCTAACGGTTTTGACAGGAAACATTTCATCTTTGACCGAGGTTCGTCGATACATGCAAGCCGGGCCGGCCGAGACAGAAGCACGCGGGCGAAGTCGCTCGGCAAAGTGGTCCGATTCTCTACCCAATTTGGGCAACGATTTCGCTGACGATTTTGGGAAACCCTCGGGGTTTTCTGGACAGATTGGTATCCCGACGTACCGCTGGTTATCCAAGCGAATCAACTGATTATCGGGCGTCTTGGGCTGGGGCACACGCTGCCGGAGCTCGTCGCGGAGTCGGCGAGGAACGAGGCGGGCTGTCACCCGGGGACGATGGCGGCGTACTTCCACCATGCGATCACGCTGGAGCTGGCGTGTTTGATGAGCAATGATACGGTTCAGATGGCGATTGTGAAGGGTGTTAGGGTATGAGCGGGCTCCGACAACAGATTGTAAACCTTTCTGGGCACGAACGGCGTTTTGGTTATCAGTATTAGTTTGGGATTGTTGGAATATGGAATGATGAAGGAATACGAAGGACTGTTCCTGTTTACTTGCTAAGATTGAGCGAAAGCGAAACCTGGTGTGGCTATCACGGCGCACGAGATAGACCTCGGTAGCAATGAGCGGTCGGAGTTGCAGTTTACGGACAGGCTGCGATGTAGGTGCTACTTTAGACTGGATTGATCTGGACGACGATACCATTGACTTCAAGATGGTCCAACGTGAACTTCATTCCTTTGGTTCACGGCAGTGCTAACTGGCCATGACAGTCCTTAGATTGACGATTGCATGTTTTCAAGCTGCCATCAGAGCTAACATGAAGAAGGTCGTCGACGCGAGAGAAAGAGCCCATTTTAGTTGAGTATGGGGGGAGGGCCATATTATTTAGCGACGTTCGCTAGAAAGCTTCAACGGAGACCACGGGAGGGTGGAAAGTAGATGTATTTTTCAGAACTGCTCTCCTTCGCGCAATTACTACCCAAAGACATCTCAGTAAAGACTCGCCATTCAAGCTAGCCTAGCTTGCATGTGAATTTTAATCGGACTCTGTGTAGCAATGTTGTGAAGACTCTGTGTGACGGCCAATGGACCCCAAGAATGCCGATGACGAGAGCGCCACCAGTACGACATACTAGATAAGGGGGCTAACAGGCGCACCAGCATGCGATTGCCACGATTTCTTGGGTTTCAGTAGACTAAAAGATTGGAAAAACGGTCTTTTAGGGCGGATGGACTGGATGAGTTGGGGCTCGAGCTGGCAGACTAGCTGCTGAAGGCATCAGAACATGGCATTTCTTTGTTTTGCCCGGAGCCAAAAATTTGCGTCGGACTGCTCCGAAATCGGTTACTGCGAGACGGAGTCGTCCAAAGGCCGTGGACCAAAAGCGTTTCTCGGGATAACGGCGCGACTTTGGAGGCCAGGCCATACAAGTACGTAGTCGAGCAAACCAGCGACATTCGTACAAGTCAAGCCCGGCCAAAGAGAGAGGAAAAGAGAGCGCCTAGCTGGGAAGAGTCGACCGCCGTGTCTCTGATGATAGGAACAAACGGCCAGTTGCTCAAATTGGCGTGGCGGCAGCTTCGAATTGATGGTGTCGCACGAGATCAGCCACACAATGTCAGTCCAGTTGAGCCTACGCTGTTGACCCAAAATGGGACGAAAGGCTACGAATGATAGATGGCATGGAGATCTCGCGATCTTGTGTTCGTTTGCGTATAGTATTGGGTGTTTTGGTGTTACGATCATCAGTTCCCAATTCCTAGAAGGGATCGTTTGTGTCACTAGCAGATACGCTTCTAGAAAGTCACACAAACGCCATGCATTAGTGGCCAGTTTAATAGGGGCCTATTGAAGCAAGCAGCCATGACTGAGGTCCCCCTGAAGGCGGAATGCAAACTTCGGCTCGGACGAAACGTTGTACCAATCTGGGTAGCCTAATTGCACAAGAAGTCCCGCAAGCATTGGGTGTTCGATAATGACAAGCAACTGCTCCAGGGTGCCTCGATATGCTAGCAGGACGTAAAGAATTAATGGTCACACATTCGAGGGAATTTATATTCGGATCGCAGAGTTCTGGGGTGTATTCGGAAGGGTTGGTGATTGCTTCGAAATCGAGCGGCGTAGGATTCGGGAAGGCTGTCACGCAAGATGATGAGGGACCTGCGCTTGTGTCGGCATCGGGACGGTTCATGCAATCTAGCTAGCAAGCTTCGAGCGAAGGTTCGGATCCGCCAGGCGATGGCGTCGACTAGTCGGCGTGGGGGTGGTGGGAGGATAGTTTTGGAAGTGTTCACGATGCCTAGCTGATTGCAGATGTTAGTAGGGCCAGTTGCAGACTCACAAGTAAGAATCATGATTGAATCCCAGCGCCAAAGGTTGTGATGCTCTCCTCAATATGACGGGAATAAAAGATTGTAAAGGCCAGACCAGCAGAAGGTGTAAGCGTAAGGTCTGTCCACAGGTCTAGCACGAAGAAGAAGGCTGGTCTAGTTATTTGACTAAACATGCAAGTAGAGCACAAACTCTGGGTATTGCTAGCCCGGAGCAAGCTATCAGCACCTCCAAAATGTCAACGTCTAATCATATCCGACAATCGGATCAAAGTCAAAAATCGCCTTTGGCCACTCATACTTGCCATATCCGTGATATCTCTGAATCCGGGGACGGCTGGATGAATCGCCGGGGCCAGCCACGGCAGATTCTCCCGGTCCTTGGGCGCCGATCCGGGGCCCGGGCCGACCTGAAACCCGTGCGAGAAGTCCCGAAGAACTTCGTTTTGGAAGATGGAGCACAAGCGCACACAGGGGTTTGTTGGGTCACATTGAAATTGGGAACAGGTGGCCGTCGGTGGAGAGCAGGGGGGGAGGGGATGAGTGGGGAGTCTCGTCATCAGAAAGGGGGCAGCAGGGATATCCTCCTCATTCGAGACTTGCAAGGGGAAGAAGGGAAGAAGAGAGAGACGAGGAGGGGGAGGGGTGGGAGTCGTAATCGAGAGACGGAGTCGGGAATCAAAGATGCAATGCAGAGAAGCGACAGCCAAGGAGGGGCCAAGAGTGGCTGTGCAGATGACATAATCGGGTCTGTACAGGTCCCGCTTATGTAAACCCGTCCTCCGTTATCCGGCTATCTTACCTCCCCGGGTGCCTCGTATCGTGATATCCGTATGGGCATCCCGCGGTTTCCTTTCTTGGGCGAATCCGCGTAAGCCGGCTTAGGTAAGTAAGAGGAACCTTATGTGTACGTAAGCAGGGATTCACTGCCCAGAAAGACACTCGTCAATCTTGATTGGACAGCCCTGGCAAAGAAGGGGACTCTGCAGTGGACAGACTCACTAAACTGCGGCTGCACTCACTGGTCGTCGCCAGTGGTTTGGGACTGGAACTGCCTGGGGACCGGCCCACTGCCGCACGGAAGACGGGACAGTAGCACCTCCATGTTCATCCATGCCAAATCACGAACCTTCGTGTTTCGACATTGCCAGCCGCAGAGTCAATTCAACCTCCATCGAGCTCTGTCGTTGCCAGCGGAACCGACATCGCGACTAGCCTCACCATCCAGCTTCTCTTAGTCCTGTCGATCCGGTCAATGTCTGTCTGCTCCCAAGCAGCATCCATGGGACCCCTTTCTCTTCCGTCATAGTATTTCGATAGTGTCGTGTGTTGCTGCGCCTTTCCAACACTCCTTTTTCCCTCCATCTCCGCCCTCACCCGACCGACTCGATACCGCTCGTTTCCCCTTCGCTGCTATACGGATGCCAATAGACGGCTTTGATCGACGTCCCTTTGATACATCGCCCCCCTGATTCCCGTCCCCGTCCCCGACCGGCGACAACCGCAACGATGCCGTCGGATCGCGATCACCGGTACGAATCTGTACCGCCCATCCCCAGCTACGATGAGGCTCTCGCCACAAGCGGCCCGGCAGACCCCTCAGAATGGCAGCAACCCCCACGCTCTCCGCTAGACGATCGCTCCCAGGCCGAGACTGAGTCGCAGTCGCTGCTGAATAGAAATGGCCTCGCAACTTCATCACGCCGCCCAAACGGCTATAGACCGCCAACAGTCGAAACAGATGACGAAGATAGCTCATGGGGCAGCGACGACGATGGAGACGAAACGGCATACGTGCGCCGGGAGATGCAAGAGCTCGAAATAGGGGATGCGGACGACAGATCGCGCTCGTCAATATGGGGAAAACGGATACCATTCGCCCTCTCTTTATCACGCTGGAAGTGGTCTTGGCGATGGCGGATGCCAAATTTGCGCCCGACAATTCGACTGCCCTCGGGCTCGGCCGACAACTCCAACAACTCGAACGAGGCGAATGCGACGACAACGAGACCGCGATTTACTTTCCCGCAATGGGACAAGGACAAGGCGCGGACGGCCATTATCATTTTTGCCCGGGTGTTTGCTGTTGTCTTCGTCATGGGCATTCTTTACGCCCTTTTCATGAGCGATATTTTCACGAGCATGGCTAGGCGCATGAACGGCGGACTGCGTTTCAACCCCGAGGATGTACGCTTGTACGTGCAGCAAAATGTCGAAGGCCGCCGGCTGAAGGCGTCGGTAGCTCATTACACAAAATACGCCCACATGGCAGGTACCGAGGGCGACTACGCTCTGGCTATGGACGTCGAGTCCATGTTCACCAGAGCCGGGCTGGATTACGTCAACGTTGACGAATACTACGTGTACATGAACTATCCAAAGGCCGGAGGACGCGCTGTGGAGATTATGGGCGACGACGGAAAGCCAAAATGGTCTGCGAAGCTGGAAGAAGAGGAAGTCGGAGGAGAAGCAGCTGGACACCAGACATTTGTGTTCCACGGACTATCCAAGTCAGGAGATGTTAAAGGACCTCTGATTTATGCCAATTATGGTGCGAGATCAGACTTCAAGAAGCTTGCGGATCATGGGATTGACACCAAAGGCGCCATCGCTCTTGTTCGTTATTATGGTACCCAGGCAAACTTGGCTCTCAAAGTCAAGGCGGCAGAGGACGCCGGCTTCGCAGGCTGCATTGTGTACAGCGATCCAGCCGATGACGGCTTCAGATTGGGCGACGTCGCACCCAATGGCCGCTTCATGCCCGCCGATGGCGTTCAGAGAGGCTCCGTTGCGCTGTCGAACTGGGTCCTCGGTGACCCCCTGACCCCTGGCTGGGAGAGCAAGAAGAACCTGCCGCGCATGAAGCCAGATGAGAGCAAGGGTCTGACCAAGATCCCCAGTCTGCCCCTTGCATGGCGTGACGCGCAAATCCTACTACAGCATCTCAAGGGCCATGGTGAACAGGTGCCGAAGGAATGGGCGGGAGGTGTTCCTGATATCGCCGAGTGGTGGACTGGTAACCTTTCTTCGCCCATTGTACGACTCAAGAACGACAACGACGTTGTGGAGCAGAAGGGTATCTGGAACGTTTACGGCAAAATCGAAGGCATTGAGCAGGATCAGAAGTCAATCATCATTGGAAACCACCGAGACGCTTGGTCCTTTGGCGCGACCGAACCTCACTCTGGCACGGCGGTGCTGATTGAGATGGCACGCATCTTTGGCACCCTCGTCTCCAAGGGTTGGCGCCCTCTTCGCAGCATCGAGTTCATGTCGTGGGACGCCGAGGAGTACAACATGATCGGCTCCACCGAATTCGTCGAGCACAATGACGAGCTCCTGCGGCAAAACGCATTTGCTTACATCAACCTCGACTCTGCCGTGGCAGGCAGCGAATTTCACGCTGCGGGATCGCCCGTCTTCAAGCAAGCTGTCCTTCGCGTTATCGACCGTGTCTTTGATGCGGGCCTGAATGCGACAGTCCGTGACCTGTGGAATCAGCGCGAGGGTGACCTGGAAGAGCTTGGAATGGATGGCGACTGGGTTCCCTTCCAAAACATCGCCGGCACCAGCTCTCTCGATCTCGGCTTCAGGGGCGCACGATTCCCCGCGCAATCCAGCTACGACAACTACGAATGGGTCCAGCGCATCGGCGATCCAGAGTTCGCGTATCACGTCATGATGGGCCAGATTGTCGGCCTCTTGATCCTAGAGCTCGCGGATAAGCCCATTCTACCATTCGACATGGTGGGCTACAGCGAGCGCATCGAGCGTTACATCAACGACCTGGCCAACTTTTGCGAGCACATGGGTGCGGGTACGCAAGACAAGTTCTCGCTGGAGCCTCTCAAGAAGCTCATCGCGGAAACCAAGGTCAACGTCAAGGGCTTCTCCATGTGGGAGATGACGTGGGAGAGCACAGTCATGGGCGGCGGCGGCTGGGAGTCGGGCGATATGGGCGACAAGCGCATTCAGTTCAACAACCACATGGCCGACTTTGAGACGGCGTTGCTGGACCTTGAGCAGGGTGGTGGTGTAAGTTTTATCTCTTCCTTCTTCCGTGACATGGTATCCGTATTTTCTGATTCAATTGCTGACGATTGCGTAGATCCCCGACCGTACCCAGTTCAAGCACGTCATCTTTGGGCCCCAAGCCTGGTCCGGCAACAAGCCCGTCACCTTTGCCGCCATTCGCGACGCCGTCGAGGCCGGCAACTGGGAGCTCGCGAACAAGCTCGTTGAGAAGACGGCGCGCATCATCCAGAACGCGACAAGTTCGCTGTCCGAATGGGAGAAGGCTGCAGAGAGCAGCTGATCGCACCATTACTCCCATTTCTACGTTGTGACTTTTTTCTTTCCTGTGTTTCGATACGACGTTGGGGCGTGTGTGTTGTACCGCATTTTTTGAATGCAATTGGAAGAAGACACATGTACGAAGGGGGCTCACTTGCTCTCATTTCCTTTTTGTTCAACTCGTTTACAAAAACTCCGTTTGGGAGATCTTCTGGGGTTTGATAGCTATCTGCGCTCCGTCGTGGAAAGCCTACTGCCAATCCTCTCTGTTCCTTATTTTTTCTGGCATTGCAAGGAGTTTAGGGGGGGTTCTGCCACACAAACAACCATGGTTTCCGCAATTCTTTTTGTCCCGAAGGTACGATAGTCGAAACTACCTATACACTGCCAGTCCTGTGGCGGAATATGTAACTGCAGCTGCAACTATGTTCTGCCCGTGATATTACGCACGGTCTAGTCTTCGTGGCGAGTTTTGTCGTGATGGAAATCGCCAACTTGCCCCTACCCTACCCTGCCAGTCCTGGCCCCTCGAACTAGTCAATTATCCTCCAGACGCATCGAGATTTCGCCCAGGTCAAGTGCCGACTCGGAAACTCACTTGACCATGACGCTACATGTTCTTTGGTGTACCTCGTGGAGAGGTGGTCATTATGGCGGGGATGAAAACTTCGATCGCTTCACTAAGAATAAGGTAAGGTAGGAAGAGAAAAGCACGACACACGTATATACAATCGAGGCCACAAGCCACATGCAAAGCTTTTCCATTGTCTCTCTGTGCACAACCACATTCCACAGATTTCGTCTCGTTCCAATTCATTGCATGCGCTTATCGTATAAACACGTTTTTTCTTGACTCTCTCACACACACAACTCTCTCGTCCCCTTCTGCTCCAATCTCCGAACCTCACTCCACTAGGTTCTTCTCACAAACCCGTGTTGGCCACTGCTCCCCTTCGCCGCTAATTAAGAAACCTCCATCTGTTCCCTCTCCATAATCCCTTCTTTCATTCTCCCTGCTCTCGTAAGGTGTGTCGTCATGTGGTGATTGGATGAGTGCCTCCCGTTTGCTTCAGAACCGGGTTGACAGGATCCAAGTACCGTTGCTTATTTCGGGTACAGAACAATGCCGTCGTACTGCCGTCCCTTGATACTTTCGAGGATGTGGTAAAAGTGGCGCTTGCTGTTCTCGACCGAGGCCGAATCCTGCTGGTTGCCAGCGAGGTTGGAGTGGATGAGCTCAATGAGGCCGTTGAGGTATTTGGTTGTGACCTGTAACCCAGTCAGTACTCGGGAAGACAATGCAAAAAAGCTGTGATGACACTTACCGCCGCGTTCTGCTGCTCAAAGTAGTAGACGTATCGGTCGAGAATCTCAACAAACAGCTCAATCGATGTCGCCGTCTCCATGCAGGAGTCAGCCACGCGCAGAGCTCTCTGAAGACACTCAAGCACTCTCTTTCCATCACGATACAGCTGCGATGAGTTAGTAAGTGTCGCTTGATCGGGTTTACGGTCCAGACTTACCCCAGTTTCGTCGGCCTCGCCATTGACGGCCATTGGCGTGGCCCACCACAGGTGACTAGCGAGGTAGACAGCCCGGCACTGGTCCGGCTTGCGCAAAAGCTTGCTGCCGTGCTGGGCGCACTTGGTGATGAGAGTGTCGTAGTTCTCCTTGCCAAAGTTTCGCGTTTGGTGCAGCGCCGTGGCGATAACGCAAACGGCTTGGAACTGCGCCTTGGAATCCGAAATCGCCTCCTCGTAAACGGTGAAGGCTTGAGCAAAGAACTCGTAGGCCACCTCCTCAAAGCCCGTCATATCAGCCGTCTGGCCGGACGCGCAGAATAGACGCAGGGCAAGCTCCGCCGCGCCGGCTCCGTTGACACGGGTATACAAAGTGCTCAGAGCAGAGTGCATAAACTTGAAGAGGGCATTGCTCTGGGTCTCCCAGTTGTCCTCGTAGTGTTCGCGCGTCTTGAAGCGTCTTGCAAGCTTCATGCAGGCGGTAATGAGGGGCGGTGTCGTCGTGCGGATCCTCTCGTTGCCTTCAGAGTAAGCCTTGCGGGTCATTTGCAACAGACGGAACTGTGTGTCGTTGTCTTCGCCATTAATGAGGTGGACAATTCTGGCCAGCCAACCTTGTTCCTCCATAGTCTCGTCGGTTTCGACAGCGCGGCGTTGTGCAACACCTGGGTAGTTGGACGGTGTCTGGGAGCCCTCCTTAATGAGCACCTTCAAGACCTCCAAAACATTCTCCATCTGGCTAGGGGTAGAGATCCGTGTCTGGTCACGGAGGAGGGTGCGAGCGACTTCACCAGCAACGGCGCGGCGAGTTGGATACGACTGTGACTGAAAAAGAGGAACGTAGGTAGGAAGAGAGAGTGCGGTAAAGATGGAGAGGTAGCGGTTGAGAGGCGCTTGCAGCAGGGCCAAGAGACTTTGCTGTGCCGGGGGAGAATGAAGGTCGGCATTGTTTGCGTTTTCCCGGACTTTGATCGTGGCATACTCAAGAATCTGGTTGACAAAGTCTAGCCTCTCGGGGTAAATGTTGAGTGCCAGGTTTGTCAGTGAGCAGAGCAACGCTATTGTGTCTGGGATGGGAAGGTGCTGCGCATCCACCAAGTTTTTGACTTGGCTAAAGAAAATCTCGTAGAGCTGCACGTTCTCCGGGATACCCTTCTCTGCGTCATTCCCTTCTCCGTTGACGGCAGTGGCCTCAGTGTCCGCAATCGAAGGAGCTGGCTCTTCTGGCGGGGGTAGGTCCTCTGCGGCGCGGGCTTCGTTTTCGCTGCTCTCGTGCGCGGCACCGTTTGTATCGAGGTCGAGGGGTTTCCCATTTTCGTCCACACCGGAGCCTGGCGCACTTGATGCCTTCTCGGCCTGCAATTTTGTCTTCTCCAGCAGAGCTGAAAGAGCCTCCTCTTCCAGCTTGGCCCGGTCCCCTTCTCCCTCGTCCTTGGATTCGCGTTCGGCGTAATCTGACAAGCGGTCCATCAGGCCGATAACAATAGCTTTTACATTGACGTGGGGATTCAGGCGCGAGACGGCCCCGAGGAATTGGTCCAGAGTGTGTAGGTGGAAGTCGTCAGGGAAGACCTGGGTGATGACCTCGAGTAGGTACTCCTGTGCCAGGACATCGCGACATTGCACAACCTGCTCTAGCAGAGGCGCAAGAATGCCCGACTTGTACGTTTCCAGATCCACAAGTTGGCTCAGTCGGACGATATTGCTTCCAACCAGAAGCTGGAGCTCTTTCCGCTCTCTTGTCCGTTGTTCGCGCTCGCGGGAATGGCCTTGGTGTTGCAGCCGGACCCAGAGCTTGTTCATCTCGACAAAGTTGGTGAGTATGAAGTTGATCGAGTCGGACAAGTTGCCCTCGGGACCGTCGCCGTCACCTGTCGGCAGGTAGTCTCTGGCCTGGCCGGAAAGGTAATATCTGAGGAACAGCCCGCGAATGGGATGCTGCACGCCCCTGCTCATATCCATCATATCCTTCATGAGTTCCTTGACAGGTGCGTCGGGGATAGACATGTAGGCGGTGCCGACGGTGATCATGAGGTACAGGCGCGGGATGATGTTGCCGGCATACTGGACGAGCTCGTACAGGTCGGCGAGATGGTTGACGGGGTGGTTCTCTCGGAGATGGACGGAGAGGTAGCGCAAGGCGTCAAAGACGGCCATGTATAGCTCATAGTACTGCTTCGGGCCCAGGCTACTCGTGCGCAGCTCGGAAACTAGGGTTGAGCTGAACGAGGTGCATTGGACTGTTAGTCTCGACCATTGAAGCTTATCGGGGGCATCGAGAGAAGCTGCCTAGGAGCTCCCGGGAATCCGGGGAACGGGGATGACGTACCAGCACTTGAGGGCATCCATGAGCTTGCTCGGCGTGTCGAGGCATTTGCGCATGAGGGCCGTCTGCTGGCGCACCGCGACCAGGGCATCCTCCAAGAGGCGTGCCTGGTCTTCCGGCGGCACAGGAGTCGCAGACATATCGAAGTCGAACCGGCGGGGTAGTTATCGATCGAGGCGACGTATATGATGCTCAGTTGTGGCTCATTGATGAAGAGGACAAACGACAGAGTCGGAGTGGATCGATTGCGGTCGGAACAATTGCGCGATGGATGAGGACGCAGATGTCGGAGGTGTGTCGTCGGCGCGCGCGGCTGCGAAAAGGGTTGCGAGGTGAGGTCCGGGGGGGTTCGTTGGAAGGCTGACGATGGAGTCCCGTCAGGTTAGCAGTAGCTGGCTCGAGGCGAGTGCTAAGGACCGACTGGGCAGTGCTGCGGTGTTGTGCGATGCGAGCTCGGTGGACTGAGCCGTGGCTGGAGCAGTGGAGTGAAGACCAGACACTGGCTGGCGTGGACGAGAAGTGGAGACTGTCCCTTTCCATTCTCTTGCGACTTGCCTGTGACGTGCCCGCCAGTGGGAGGTCGGAGAATCGAGCTGCCTAGAGGATAGATTATGTAATACATCATTATGTAAGGCAGAGTTGGGGTGGTCTTCTCTTCACGGTTCAATCGATCCCTCCGAGCGTGTCGAAAATGCAGTGAAATTGCGGCTCTGTCAAAGTACGTATTCTGGGCCGGTCAGCTATCAACCGTCTTTAGTGTTTGCATTGGATTGATGCTGGTGCCTTCATAATGCAATCTACTACAAGATCGTTTCTGCACAGTCTTCTTGCAGCCTCGGCCAGGAAGTTGGCATCTAATACCTCGTACGTAATTTCCTCGCAGTGAGGTCCTACTAGTAGTTCACCATTGAGCTTAACTCTATGAGTTGAACTGGAGTCTAACGGATTCCACAGCCAGGTGTCGGCCATCTCATCTGCTGGGAAGAAAAGGTGAATCAGCATCGTTGGCATCCCCAGAGCTTGAGCAGACAAGCGGTCGACTTGTTCGAAAATTCCCAACTACTTCGTCTGCCCGGGACAATTCAGGTTCTCTAACTCCCTCTTTCTGGATATTTTCATTACAGTAAATCGATCAACAACATACTTTGCCCCTTCGAAGAAAGCGGAAATCATTGCTACTCGAGCGTTGACTCTAGACTCTAGACCGTGGAAGGAAGATCGACCAGGATCTCGAACCACACACGTTGGTGCGTTGGCGCATTGGTAGCAAAGGTTCTGTCTTGGGTCGCGGCACAGGCCAGAGTTCCGGCCAACCGCCCCCGCCTTGGCTGCATAGACTGTGGATTCAGTGCGTTTTCCGCCTCTCAACAGCACACAGCCAACTTGACCACTTGACGATCACAACGGTCAGAAGCAACAATAACATCACCAACGAACGACAGTCCCTCTCACATGCCATGCGTCAGTTCATTCATTCGTTTGAGGTTCTCTCAGCAGCTGATTCGTACACTGTTACATGCTTGTGCAATGTATCCGTACATTCACGATGCCCTTTGACCAATTCGCATCTTCGCCCACCTCAACTAATACCATGCCGTGTGCTTACTCCGTACCCATGTGCCATTGCTGCATCATGCAGGATATGTGTGTTCGTGAACCCCTTACTCCAACAAAACGCCATCCAAATCCAGATAGTACTCCGCATCCTCTCCATTTTGGCTCCATCCCCGCAATCAGTGGGCTCGTGTCCATACTCACCCGAGTTCCCGAGTGGGAAGGCCGAAAAAGCAGCCCAGATTTTCCTACCATCACTGCCTCCCCACGGTCTCAAGCTGTGAGGGACACAGCAGTAGCAGGAAGCCCACAATCCGTCTGGAGATACTCTACAAGCGCCGTGTCAATTGACGCTGAAAAGGCAGCAAACAGCAGCGTTGCCGTCGTGCCGGGCGCAGGGAGATGCCGTATCCTCGGTACGATCTCCAGCTTCTCAATCCCCTCGACCTTGGCCAGCTCAGCGACCCACTCCATGCTATCGTGCTTGATGAGCGCCAGCAACCTCAGGTCCGAGACGCTCAGCACCTGCGGCCCCTCCCACGCCGCCGTCGGTCTTCCGCCCTCCACGACGATACGCAGCCTAGGTATCGCCTTATCCAGCCGGCGGAGATAGGCGCACATGGTCGCCCAGTCCAGCCGGTCACTCTCACTATTGCAGTGCATCACAGGCCCGTCCTTGCGGATGGTGAGCTCCTGGATAGCAGAGCGAGACGAGGGTGTCAGGTCTTTGAGGAAGGGCACCACAGCCTCAACGTCGCTGCCGAAATCGAAGCCGTAGGGGCGCCCGTAGAGGAGATGACTCGCCTCGCGGTGGATGCGGCGGTTGACGGCCATGATTTCGGGGTGCATTACGGACTTGGGGCTGGTCAGATGGTGATGTGCGTACGTCGTCAAAAAGCATTGCCTGTGAAAGGACCTCTCGATGATGCGGTACGAGGTGCGGCGGTAGGTGCTCAGGGCGCCAGTGTGCAGCTGGTGCATTGCCTTATTACGGACGGCGAGTCTTCTTTCGCCAGCGTCGTCGAGAAGGTATTCGTAAATCATGATGCGGATTTCGGCGGGGATCCGCATCAAGGGGGATTGCTCTTCGTCCATGTTGGAATCGTAGGGTTACGAGGTGTGGGAACTTGGGGTCAAAATCTGGGGTCGGAACTCGGGTGGGTTGGACGGGGACGCTCCTCGGATGAATGGAACTGGTGCCTGGAGGTTTAAACACAGCAAGGCAACGATGAAAGAAGATGCGGAAGAGTAACAGAGTCGGAATAAGAGAGAAAAGAGGCGGAATTTGTAGACAGCAGAGGCGGAAAGAGGGTCACCAGCTGGTCTTATGGCATCGTGTAAGATACGGCAAGTGCCCCTGCGGAGGTGGAAGGTGAGCGTGACTCCCATTGACATGTCTTTCCGAATTGGTACACCCACGCGTTCCGAGAAGCAGCCAAGGAGAGGGGTCCATCAAGGTGCTTTCCTAGTGACTGATATTGGCACTTGCTTCTGCCCCTAACTGCACAAGTGGTCCTTTCCCCGAGTCGGAAACATCCCATCGGCCAATGACTCTTTCCCTTTCTTTCGATGAGCAGAATATCGTTGCTGTTGCAGTTGCAGAGTGAACATCCAACCGCTGTGCCGCATGCATACGCGGAGTCCCGACCTTGGCCGTCAAGGTCCCCTTGTTGGGGTCCTTGAGGGGAGGTGTGGATCTTCCCGACCTCATCTTACCTTACCAATGGACCTCACCTCACCCTTGCTTGGGCAGTCAGACTCCCTCGTTGAAGGGTGTGTGTGGCAGATAATTCACCTTGCACAACGGAGACTCACCAGCAGGCCAACAGCTGCTTAAACCAGCCGAACCAGCGTGAATGCAACTTGTACAGTGAGCCGTGCAACATGTAGCAAATAATATGCAATGCTCCGCTGGGTGCTTACCGGCTGACTCTTCGCGAGGAAGATAAGCAATCCTTCTCCACTAGTGCAGCTTATGGGCCGTCTTGTATCGTACCTATCTGGTCCCAAACCAACGATGCTCGCAGGCCAATGCCTCGGCCCTTGTTTCGGACCAGCGCTCTCGGCCCCGCGGGTCACCCCGGGTTTCCACAATTCTAGAATCGCGGGGGCCACCGGGACACCTCCGCGTCCAGGGTCCGATCCCCGCCGGCTACCTCTCATGGAGCACCTTAACTTTACACCTATGATTGAACCAGCAATCTTTCTATAAGGATTATCCTCACAACGGCAACCTCGGTGCCATTTTCTATCTAACGACTGGCTACCTGCTTGCCTGAATCACTTGCTAAGCTTCATTGAGGTCTCAGCTCTGTATAGGAGGTAGGTGATTTCTACAAACTCTTCTGTCTGGGGCGTAAAAGATATATGCGTACCCCTGTGTCCTTTGCCATCTTACCCAGCTTAGTCCAACTCCCTTATGACCATGTAGAAACGCAACTTTGGCTCGCGACTCACCTCATATCTAGTACGTATGATTCCCTGGAGTCTGATTCTAATCGGCCTACGAAGTTTTTCATGTCGTGGCACTTGCTGGCCTCTCTGGTTATTCCAGACGCAATGATAATTTGAATGAGAAACACAACAGTCAGCATTCAGACTCGACCTCTCGGGCATAACTTAGATCCCACCCGGAGGAGCTTGGGAGACGCAAAAATGACATGGCAGATCTTCAATTCAACCCTCCATTGTACAGGAATTGGTAGCCGCTGCGTAGTGGAAATCGATGGATTAAATATGGAAGGGAATCTCAAGCAAGTTGGTATCATTCAAGCCCTCCACCAATAACACTCATCATACAAAAGCATATCCTCTCAAAACAAATACCTCACAAAGCCTTGTCCAAAGTTCCCTTCTTGACAAAGTCCTTTGTCGCAAATTCCCTCTCACCGCCAGTAGTAATGTCCTTATTCTTAGACATGCCCTGCGAGTCGCCAGCCGCGGTGTCAACAGCAGAGTTGAACTTTCCGCGAATCACCTCTCCCATTCCCTTTAACCCAGTCGTCAGCATCACAAAGTCACAATGATTCCCCCATCATACAATGAAGCATCAGCAGTTGCGGGAACTACTCACGTGTCCTTGTGCAAATGCACCCTTGATCTGCTGCCCGATACCACCGCTACGCGTCGTCGGCGCATCACCGCCACCGACCGTGCTTGTAGCGGCTCTGGAAGTCGAGTGCGTTGCTGGAATCTCGCCGGTTGTCGTAGTGTGGGAGGTCGCGGTGTTTACACTGGGGTTCTCGTACGTGTTTGCGGTGCCGGCGGTCTCAGCGTTGAGAGCTGCGGGATTCGTGTGTGTGGCCATGGTGATGGTTGCGTTCAAGCTCCGGTAGACGTTGAGTTTTTATGGTGGATTAATGAGCCGAGTTATTTGAATATTCGGTAATATTTCAATCAAAGATGAAGTTCAAGTTGATGATACTATCTACAGAATTTAAATAGAAAAGAGAAGTTGGTCGTTAGCTTCCTTGAACCTGGTCTGGTGATGCGCCAAGGGGTGACGTCACGATAGCGCAAAGTTGGCTCGTGGCTCTTGTTGATCTGTGGACCTTCGGATCCGGCTTGCCGCATGGATGTCAGCCTCAATACGTCTCATTGTTCAATATTCCTATCAAGCCTATTTCCGTCTGTCAAAGAATATCTCATGACATGAAACTTATGACACCGGTATATTTGGGATGACTAGTTGTTGCACACAAACCATAATGGACTGCATATGTCAAACTTCCACCGAAGAAAAAATGATTTTTGTCAGGCTTACAGGCAGTTTGATATTACTACAAAAGAAGACGCCTTACCGGATGAACCCCGTGAGAAAATCTCGTCTATGTAAAGAAAATGTACCATCCAACCTAGTGCTGTGTAATCCCCTCAACAGAAGAAAAGTTTGAATGTGTTCCAATGTGCCTGTCCATCCTATCGTTCGTTTTCTCGATCATTTGCACAGGACACTGGTGACAGGAAGCCCATCAACTCAAGCTTCACCACGCGCCCAAGACAAAAACCATACCAACAAAAGACCAAACCCACCTCGACACCTCAACCCTCTCTCCAGCACCGTAATACCCCCTACCACCGCCCCAACCACCCCCACCGTTCCCCCAGCCCCAAGCGGCACTGATTTCACACTCCCCGTTGAAGTCAATGGTATCTGTTCTTCCAATGGGGGTGCAGAGAGACGACGACTCGGCAGACTGTTCGCTGTTTTCGGTGCACGTGGTAACGTCGCTCCATGTTCCGTTGAGGCAGTACTGGAATGAGTTGGACAGACAGTTGTACTGGCCCTCGGATCCCTCGCAGGACGTATCGGCTGCAATGGCGAGGTATGAGAGGTCTGCTAGGACTGTTGTGTCTCTTGTTTGTTTGCCGAGAGATTGTCCTGTGACTGGGGATGGTGTCGCGGAGGTAAGGTCGACGAAGAGGGCGAGGAGGAAGAAGAGGAGTAGGATAGAGAGGACGCTTTTACGTCTGCATGGTTGGAGGCGCGGGAACATTGTGACAGAGAGCCCCAAGAGGTGTTGCCGAAGTGAATATCTGCGGCCCTGAGAAAAGGAAAAGTTTGCTCTGGGAAGAAAAGGGAGAGTGGCTGTTCTTGAGCTCGATGGACGGAGTGTTTGTCTGGAAAGGCTGAGACGAGCGTCTAAGTCGGCACATTAGCATATATGGTACTCAAGGAGTACCGCAGGTATATACTCCCTCCTTTCCCCTCCCCCCTCTTTGCAGTTGAAAGGCCTTGCCCCAGAGTTGGCCGAGAAAGGACCCGAGAAACATGGCAAATAGATCGGGGACCCATCGAGGAATGACGAAGTTGATTAACAGTCACGACGCACCTTACTACCACTCATGGAGCCATTCTCATCCTACCTTAGCAAGCTCGTGAATAGACCATAACTGTGAATACATGCCTAAATCTCTTCGTTCCCGCCAGATTGTCTCAGAAACTAGCTTCTCTGGCCGTAAAACTGTCGGAACCTGTGTTCGTCTGAACGGCACCAGACCGTCGCTGCGTTATTAGCTGTACCGGCGTAGTCATGACAAGACCGTAAGACGTGTAGACATGCCATTGGGCAATCCCGAATCTAAGGTAGCTAGCTCACCGAGCGAAACTTCACCTCCAAATTTTCCCGTCATCCCTCTGCGCCAAAAGCTGCAAAAGAGAAAATAGCATGGATCCTACGGACCTCGCAGTATCTTTCTTAAGCTTACACTCTAGCTCCCCAACGGCACCCTCCTAAAACTCTCCGGGAGGTTGTCATGCGTAAACGGTTTCCCATGGCACGGATTGTCGGCACAGACTTGGCTTAACTCGCACACGCCCTCTGCCCTATCTCCGAATGTAGAGGTTGCCAAGAGGTCCGCAATCCTGCAGGAACCCGATTCAAAGTACAAATTGCTGGTGAGACTTGGCAAACGTCCCCATTTCTTTGAAACAAGGATGGGCAAATGTATCTCTCTTTTTTGAGGGTGTGAAACTAAATAAAAGTAGAGTATGAACCCATCCCAGGAAACCCGTGAACCGGTTCGTGATGTCCAACGTGTTCTCGCGTTGGTTGATGGTGCTAGTCACCTAGCGCCAACGCTACCCTTTCCTCCGCGCACCAATGAGCTGGCTGATGCCTACAGTTCCTGGAAGGCTAGCCAGCGGATAATTTGTCTAATTACTCTGCAAGAGTGTTGAAGGGGAAAACTCTTCTGGCATCGTCTTTATTGCAATCGTCCTACTCTGAGCTGCGACCTGGCTTGCATAATACATCCCTATCTGACCCGAACTTTCCCGTGTGCTTTGTGAAAAACAAGAGAAGCAGGCTGCTTCCATCGAAATAACGATGGATAAGCAACAGGAAGCATTCTCTCACTCCAAACAGACTACTAAAAGCCGAGGTTATAATGATAGTAGCTGCCTAGGAACGGAGTCGCAGACGCCCCAGCTTGGAGTCGTGAACTTGTGAGCACGAGGTTTCCCCCATCTCACATTCCATATGCCCCTCGTGCATTCTCAGTCCGTGAACTGGAATCTCCGTAGCCAAGTCCTCAAGTAAAGGCCATCTGCCCCCTGGCCCTCCGGCCCTGGCATCTCCCAACACTTGCACGCGAGACCAAAAACTTAGACGGCCTTTTCTTCGCCGCCTCCACTCGTCGTATGTGAACAACCCAGGCCAGAAGATAGTAGCCCCCGATACCCAATATTAGAAAGCCGGCAGTGGCGAGAATAAGCACCACGGTAGCGCTGCGTGCAGCGGCAGGCATGGTAACGATGATATCAGCGATGTGATACCCCGTCGTGTCATTCCAATTAGCACGCTTACTTCCCATCTTGACGAAATCCTTGGTGGTCATTAAGTCGGTTAAGTGGACACGACCTACCGCAGCTATACTTGTAGCCACTGTAGACTGTAGGTGAGAGGAGTGTTGCTGAAGAGACAAAGTCTCAAGACTAATTACCGAAGAGACACCAAACTGCAGGAACTCGCGAGTCGCAGCTCTTTCTGCTTTCTAGTATATAACCCTTGACAGCCGAGTTGCTAAACATACCTTGGGTCCGCGGCTTCAATGCTTCTGATTGTCCACTGGATCACCAAAACTTTTTTGCTTGCGTTTTGGGTACTAGCCGCGCCTCTTCGATGGACCGGTTTGGGTTCGGAGTTGAAAGAGGGCACTACGCTTGTCTTAGCTGAAGATGCCTCGACACAGCCCATACACGTGATAAAACTGCCAAATCGTGACCTGTCAAGCCGTTCCAGGTAAGAATTCTTAGTTTTTGATACACGTCCATTAACACCTGGATCGACCGTCACGACTCAAGTCATCGTTACAGGCGATATATAGGGGCACGACATTCTGTTTCGAGTATACGGGAGAGCTTTTGATCATATGTAACGGTTTGTTGAGTATGTACAAGTTCTATCTTATTAGACATTAGGAAACCCATTGATAACAGCGCGTTCCAGCTCTTGGTCTGTGCTGCTGTGAGCTCTCTTCCCACAATCGGAGATGGCCCTTGGCCCTGAATGATGCGTCGTTTCTCAGGTCTCGTTTGCACGTGTTACCCATGCTTTGGAATCAAACAACCTCCCATGTTCTAGCAGAACTAATTACGCCATGCTGAGGATATGCAAAACACGTGAAAGTAAATCAGACGTAAATCGTCTTATCCGTAATAGCAAAAGGAAATGAGGCCCTCTCGCTTCATCGGCGGTAGCGAGGGGTCGCGCTGGCAGTACCGTTCCACTCGGGGTACTTGGTGGTAGACCAGTCACCATCGTCAAAGCTCGTGGTAGATTCTGGGATTGAGGAAGATGTTGTCACACTGATGATGCTGGTGACAAAGGTTGAGGGTTGAGGCAATGAGCTGGGCGTCTGTACCCATGAGGTTTGGTAGGTGGTCTCATAGACCTGGGTAGAAGTCGGAGGCGTATAAGCCTCTGTGACGCTTGTGCTAGTAGAGGTAGAAGTTGTAGTCGTCGAGGTTGATGATGATGATGTCGTGTTAGGTGGAAGAGTAGATGATGGTTCCACAGGGGGAGCGATATAAGAAGTCGGCGCAACCGGGGTCTCCGTGGGCGGAGGAGGCTGAACGACGACCGCAGACGATTCAACTGGTGTTGAAACCGGTTCACTTGGAGCAGCCCATGTTGCTGATGACTGAGGGGGAACCACATTGGTCTCGGAAGAACTGGAAAATGCGGCTGCTGAGGATGATGCTGGGGGTGCCGCAATAGATGTCCATGTGGACGGAGGGGGCTCGATGGCTCCCGTAGAGACACTGGCGGACGCCGATGGGGACGTACTGGGAACACCCTGAGTTTCCGTCGAAGGAGGAGGCATAACAATGGCGGTAGACGAGCCGACAGGTGCCGATGATGGTGCCACTGGGGTTTCCGTAGAGGGGGGCAGCTCGATAGCAGATGTCGACGGCGATGAAGGCACTGGCGAGGATTGGCTAGGCGACGCCAACGTCTCGCTTGACGGGGGAGGCACCACGACAGGGGCGCTCAAGGACGGTGTTGATGAAGGACTGGCAATGCTCGAAGGGATGCCAGGCGTAGTAGTTGAAGAAGGAGCTGGCTGAACAGACTCGAAGACTTGAGTTGACGGCGCAGCTGAGGAGGGCGCCGGATCAGCAGAACTTGCCGGAGGGGCAACCGGTGGTGTTGTTGCTGCCGTCGTAGGAATGACAGTCAAAGGTGTAGATTCAGGGGTAGGCTTCACGCTTGGGTAGACAGTGACGGTTGCTGGGCCGCTGTCCGTGGTGCCATCGACGTTCACGATGATGAGAGATGTAGATGTTGTCTGTACGGCAGACGAGATCTGGGTGATGGTATCGGTGATTCTCTCCGTGACCGTTGTCTGAACTGGCGATCTTGTAATGGTGACGACTGGCGGGTCGGCGCTGGGACTTCCCTCAACATTGACTACCGAGTAGGTCTTTGTTGGCTTTGTGCCACGAAGATGGAGGAGACGATCAATGAGGGGGATCGCGTTTGCTGCTGTGGAGACGGATAGCAGCAGCGGGAGGGGAGCAGAGGGCCGCATCTTGACGATGGACCACCAGCTGCTGACTGTGTGATGTTTTTGAGAGAGACAGAGAAAGTGAGAGAGATCGTCTCAAGTCTGATGCTTCAAGTTGACAGGCCTGGTAGATGCCGTGCTTCTTGCTGTTGCTGCAGGATGAAAGACGGGCACTGACAGGACGGTGGATATCGATGTCGATCGAATACGAATAGTTGCAAAAGCGACTGTAGGGCATACGAGAAAAAACTGGAGAAGCAAAAGGAAAAGCAAACAGGAGGTTGCGCGGGAGCCATGATGGTTTTACTGCGCTGCACTAGCAAACGCGGATGGCTGGGTGAGGGAAGCTCGGAAAAGCTCGTGATGGTAAATGTTGGTGGTTGGGAGGTTGAAAGGGCTCCATTTTGGTGGTGGTAGTGCAGCTTCCAAGGCGGTTTGACAGTTGATCCAGGGGGTTACTTACAAGGGACTTGGCTGAATGGGGGGTTTTGGATGGAGGGGTGAGGTACCTTTGGCTGGTTGGCCAGGGACACAGCGACTCAAGGGCACCAATGGCGGGGAAGCAACAGGCCTAAAGGTGACGGGAGGTGGGCAGAATCCAGGCACGCGTGGCACGCCAGGTACGGGCTGGGTTGAACGGCTCGCTTAGCCTGCCGAGGTGGACCCGTTATAGCCAATGAGAGGCTGTAAATGACGGCTACCCAGCCACCCGCGTTGCTGTTGCTGTTGCAACTCAGCTGGGAGATTCAACACAGCAGCGTCTAGACCTCGCAAGGAGCTACCGTCATTTGATGAAAAAAGGCAGACATGCTAGTGGAACCTTCAACGGCAAACAGCTACTAGTGACGGGACTGCCATTCGGATTGCAGGCTGGAGATGCACTTTGTCGAACCACGTTCTGGCACGCGCCTGTTCAGTGCTGCCTGGTTTCTCGAGGTGCGAGGTATCCTAGTATTGTTATGTAATCCAGGGTCACTAGCCACCATGGAGCAACCTCCAGCCACCAGCCACCAGCCATGAACGTCACGAGCCACCTAAGGCCGGAAAGACCGAGATCTGTCAGCAAGTGGCGGTGCAGTCGGAACCACAGCTCGCCGGTGGCTCGTGCATCCGAGCCTTGGCCTGTGGCTTGCCCCTGCGTCGTCCTCTTCCTCCTCCAGACGAACCCTTCCCCTCGACTCTCCGCTCCGCTCCCACCGCAGCACCACAGACGCTTCTGTCTGCCCGATCCACCTCCTAAGCTTCTTCACAAGAAACACCCGCCAAAGTCGTGCATGGGCAAGGAAGCTCTGGCCCCCAGCGTGCATGTCATCTCGTAGGGCAGCAGGGTCGCCGTCGATCACACCTTGCCCGTTTGTTTGCTCTACTCTTCAGCTTTGGATATCCGTACTAACTAATCTAAGGTCAACATCATCTAGAACAATCTCTTTCTACCTCGACTCAACGCCTCATTTATCATGAAGTGAACAGTGAACATACCCCACCACACCCTCGCATCGGACTGCAGCAATGGCGGACAGGAACCGAGACATTTGGCAGTGCTACCTCGATTACGCATCTCTGTGGCGCTGACAGCAGCTCAACAGGGTTGGCGCCTTGGAGGATGGAAACATTTGGACCTTCTGGTCGCTTTCTGTGGATCACATCGCACTGCCCGCGCCGCCCAGAAGTTGGTTTTAATCTTCCAGGTGGATGACGTTGAGTTTCCTTGCTGGGCGCGTGCCTACTAAGCCACCACGCCAGCCTGGGCAGACCGTCTCGCAGCCCAATGACTTTGGGTTTTCTGCTGCTGACTGCTGTGAGAAGCTCCGCGTACGGATCGGTTCGTCGGATTCGATCTACCACCTTAGCTCAAGCTCTTACCACCAACAGGAAGCAGGTGACGGCCGGAAAGAATCACCTCCAGCTTCCCCCTCTCAGCACCGGCACAGGGCCCAAACACGCAATTCTTGCCTCAGTAAAAGACTCACAGCCACACACCGGTCTCGTCGCCGTCACCTCGCTTGCCTCTTGAGACCCCGTCTTGTCCGTCCGCCGCATGTAAGCTTTAAAATAAGCTACGCCGCCCAGTCCCATCTACGATTCTCTCATCCGACTTTCCGTCTTCTTGCATCTCGTCACCTTCTGCTGCCCCGCAGTCTTTCACAACACCGACACCGTACGAATACGCGGTTCACGTTTACATAACTTCCAATACCCCGCCCCCCCCCTTGACCTCTGACGCAAGCGCGCCCCCGATTCTCCCGGCATCGTCAACCGATCGAACTCTGCGCGTCGCATTCCAGACTTCAATGTCCTATCCAGGCCAGTACGGCTACGGCGCCCGTAAGTTGCATTCCGAATCTCGGCGATCCTCCAATGCTTGTTCTCTAGATCCTCACACCATTTCAGAGCCTCACGGCCAGGGCTACGGCCAGCAGTACCCGCCCCCTCAACAGGGAGGTTACGGCGGATCACCTTATCCTCCGCAAGGAGGCCAGTATCCTCCTCCTCAAGGTCCTCCGCCCGGCCAATATGGTGCACCTCCTCAACAGGGCGGCTACTACCAACAACCTCCTCCGGGCCAGTATCCCCCGCAAGGCGGACACTACCCCCCGCCCCAGGGTCCTCCGCCGGGCCAGTATCCGCCACAGGGCGGCGCATACGGCGCACCTCCCCCGATTCCTCCTTCGCCTTATGGCGGACACTCCCCCGCGCCCGGAGGCTACGGCGCACCACCGCCCAATCAGTCGTATGGCGCTCCCCCGCCTCAGCACTACGGACCCCCGACGCCGGCGTCTTTGGGATACGGCGCTCCCCAGATCATCCAATGGGATGCCACTCCTGACGCGACGACGGCGCGCAACGCAATGAAGGGCTTCGGTACCGACGAGAAGACTCTCATCCGCTGTCTGGCTACCAAGGACCCTCTGCAGATCGATGCCATCAGAACAGCATTCAACAGGAATTTCAGACGTGACCTCGAGCAAGATATTAAGAAGGAGACAAGCAGCTGGTTCCAGAAGGGCTTGGTATCAGTCGCCCGCGGTCCTCTCCGCTCCGATATCTACAACTTGTACGAGGCAATGGACGGGGTCGGCACAAAGGAGAGTGTTCTGAATGACATTCTCCTCGGCCGTTCAAACGCGGATTTGCAGGCGATCAAAAGCGCATATCAGCAAACATTCAAGAGGCGCCTGGAGGATGACGTCAAGGGTGACCTCAGCATGAAGACAGAGAGGCATTTCCTCATCGTCCTTGGTGCCAACAGAGCAGAGGACTCTGCGCCCGTCGTGCCGCAACAGGTCGACTCGGATGTCATGGAGTTGTACAAGGCCACCGAAGGCAAGGTCGGTACGGATGAGATGCTTGTTTGCAGCATCCTCAGCACCCGCAACGACAACCAGATCCGCGCCATCAACCAAGCTTACGAGCAAAAGTTTAGGAGGAAGCTTGAGGAAGTCATCAAGAAGGTAAGCCAGCCAGACCCATTGAATGCCTACATCGCACCCGATACTAACTTTGCGCGATAGGAATTCTCTGGCCACATGGAGGACGCCCTTCTCTTCCAGCTCCGCAACGCAGTCGACAAGTACATGCACGCCGCCAAACTCCTGGAAGACTCAATGGCTGGGCTCGGCACCAAGGACCATCTCCTCGTCGCGCGCGTGGTGCGATACCACTGGGACAAGAACACCCTTGCCAACGTCAAGGGCGCGTACCAGGCAAGATACAACCGCAGCTTGGCGAGCAGGATCAGGGGCGAGACGAGCGGCGATTATCAGAGGCTGATGTTGGCGTGTATCGGCGAGAACATTTGAGCAGTGACGCAGGCGCGGAATGCGAGACCGAATGATACCCCTGGGCTGGGACGGACTTCTCATGAGATAATGGACGGGAACGATGGATGGATGGATGGATGGATGGGCTGGGAGGCCGTAAGCGCCTATAGCGACGGAGCTCGCGAAGAGCAGAGGTAATCGGACGGGTACTCGGTATGGTTATCAATATTTTACCGTAATGACACTCTGGACTCTGTCCTGGATTTGCTATACAACAACTCTTTCAAAGTGCTCTGGGTGGTGACACAATGTCTCGATCTTTGTTCTCGGCGCCAAAGACGCTGTTGCCTGCATATGATTATCTACGCGACAAATCCGCTTCCCCTTGATTGCCAACATTGCGATGCTTTGGGGTTGCTGAAATGCAGACTCAGTCTCGCTGCTCATCACGGTGGCCGAAATAATACGAATCATGCGCGCCTCAGAAAGATGGTTACAATATGTGGAGAGAATTTATTGCGACTTATTAATAAATGGGCTAAAAATGTTACTTTTTTCTGTAGTAATTGCTCCAATTTAACGGCGGTTCTTGGACCGAGCTCTCTGATTGGACATGCTGAGTCCAAGCGTCTTATGTGCACCTTGGGGCAGTCGCGAATGTGTGACAGATTCTCATGTCATTATAAAGCAAATGGAAAGTGCAACCAATCAAACCAGAGCTAAGGGGGTAAGAGCGGGTCTTTCCTGACAAAAACGCTATAGCAAGATATAGCACCTTCACTAGCTATTACTTATAGCGGTCCCAGGGCCCCCTCCTTCTAAAAAAGCCACGCTAATTAACTTTTTCTACTAATCAAGACGTGGCCCCTCCTTCGCCCTAACTTTTCTCTTTTTTCCACCCTTTACTTAACGAATCCGTGCTCCACCCGCGTATGCCCACTTGATTGCGCAGAATGGCACTTTGAGGACGACGGCCACCACCCACGATCAATATCGCGAACTCGAGATCGACGTCAAAGAACGCGTTTGACGGAAGATTGACGCGTCAAATCGTGGATAGCGAGCAGCTTCTTCTTTGCGCACTTTTGACTGAAACTAACACTCAAAAAGATTGCACCTGACCAATCAAGGTCCATGGACGACGATCTCATTCAACTTAGAGTCGTTCCTTCTTCAATCAGTGCACTTGGCTTCTTCTCCTTGGCCAATATCTTTCCTTCGGCTTGGCCATAGGATCACTTTCAACAAATCAGCCAAGTGGCCGTTCAAAAATGGCATCACCAATGATGCAGCAGCCGCCTATGCCTAACGGCGGCGCGTACGGCCATGGACCAGTTCGACAGTCCGCATCACATTCTCCCGCTTTCCCTCCGTCATCGCAAGCAGCTGCGGCTCCCAGGCAAACCCCGGTGCCTGTTCCTGTAGCAGGTGCTGCTGCGAATGGAGTCAAGCCCTCTGTTGTTCCAATCGTCACCTCGGATGTTCAGCAAGGAACTCAGTCAGCGTCAGCTGAACATGCGAGTAAAGTGGACAGAAATCAAAGATTCCACGATGACTATGCTCGGCTCTCTGCCGCGATTCAAGACTCGGACCCTGATGCGGTCAGACGGGCCATTCGGGACAACCATGCCAAGTGTTTGCTTGGTTCACACTATCACATAGCTTTTCTTGTAAGTATCCGTCACGGGCATCACACGTTGTGGAAGGAGAGGCCGAGGCTCTTGACGAACCACGAATGACTGACCGTTGGATAGATGAATGTCACCATGCACCAAGCCGACGTGGGAATCTTCCAGAGAGCCGTCAGGGACTATGGCGCAAGGTTTCTGGAGGCCGGCAAGCATGAGCTTATCAATGCCATGACCACGGCTGACATTGATGAGGTGGCGGATGAGATTCTCGCCAAAGCCTCAGACACATTCCTTGACAGAGCTCTCGTAGCTCGTCTACCCACTATTCAGGCACGTCGACTTGTTAATGCCCTGGCGCGAGCGGAGAGGCTTGGATACGATGCTGCGGATATTGTCGAGAATGAACATGTTATTCCCTCTTTGCCAACGGCTCCGGCCCAACAACAACAGCACCTACAGCAACAGCAACAGCACCAGCAGCAGTTACAACAGCAACAGCAGGTTGCCCTCGCGCGTACGAACTCCTTCAAGAGCGTCAACCAAAAGCCAGAGCTCCCTGTACAACCCTTGGAGCCAGCGGATCCTGCCAACCCACAATGCCTCTACTGCCATCGGACTTTCCCAGGGGTATCCGCCTACCAACATGTAAGCAATGGTCTCAATAGTGGCAATGGCCAAGCTAACCGTCAGCAGCACGTCAAGAAGAAGATCTGTGTCAAGACGTCTCCGCTGTCAAGATCGACTAGTGAGGCGTACATGTGCCCTCACTGCGCGCAAAGATTCGGCGGCATGGCTGGCCTGCAATACCACATGTTGAACAAGGTGTGTGGCGACTTTGGCGAAGTCAT